AAGGCCCCACTGAGCTACGTAGCTTTTTTTTCAGAAGCGACCTGGCCACAAGTAATAGCTCAATGAAGTGGTTTATTATCACGCAAAAATGTATGGCAGCCAAATAACTGAAAACGCGCAACGGAAGTTCTCAATCTGAAGGGAAAAAACTGAGGACTCGGAGAAAAAGCCACGCGACCACAGGGAGAAGAACATCATCATCACGGTCCTTGGGCAGATATCCCGTAGGTGTCCACTGCACATTTTGTCATTTGTTTCCACTTTCCTCTGTCTTGTGCCAATATGCTCAAGTAGTGCCACATCTTTCTGGCACCATGCAAACTCCAAATGTACAGCAGGCGTCAGAGTCGGGATCAAAAAACCTCCACAAACCTCCTGCATACCAGGCGAGGCAGTTGACATCTTCGAGCCACCGTGGCACCCCCGCTGTACTAACCGGGGACGGCCACTCGGATTCACACCGCGAATTCGCGGCCAATGATCGGCGGGTGGGCGCCACCGCCGTCCTGCGGGCCGGGCGGCACGGGGGGCAGCACAGGGAACGGCACGGGGGGATGGCACAGGGGGGCGGCACGGGAAGGCAGCACGGAGAGCGGCACGGTGGGGTCCTGGGGTCCGAGACGCGAATTCGAGATTTTGGCTTCTCCACGCCGCGCACTGTTAGGAGGCCGCCGCGGTGGCTGTGCGCTGGCACGCGTTTGTCGGAGTGAAAAGGGGCGACGCAAATTGCCGTTGCGTTCGCCGCACCGCGGATGGTCACCTGCGGTCGTGGGGCGTTAGGCCGCGGTCACGGGGGAGGTTCCACGACGTGGAGCCGCTGCCGATTTTGCTGTTGGTTTCTCCGCTCCGCACTCCCTGTGCCCATGCCAAATGTGGTCACGCTGAGGCTTTGTGTTCGTGTCATCGTGACTTGTTCTCCGAACCCTCCAATTCAACCGTCTGTCTGCACGCCTATTTCTGTCTCTTGTCCATCTGTGTCCCTGTGAGTTTTACGTGTCTATTTGTCTTTGTGCGTTAGACATTCTCACTCTGTCTATCTATCCATCTGTCTGTCTGGCTGCGTTTCTCTCAGCTGTGTGTGTGTTTGTTTGCCTGCCTTTATGTCTCTAAATACACTTTAACATCTGTGCGTCACACGATTCAGTTGGCTGTCGGTTGGTATGTTGATCAGGCAGTCTTTGTGTTTTATTTTGTGTCTCTATGTTTACGTCTGTCTGTTTGTGTGTGTGCCTGTCCGTCTGTCTATCTGTATGGCTGTATATTAGTGTATTGGTCTTGTCTATCTGTTTGTGTGTCAATAATTATGGCCTGTCTGTCCAGCTGTCCATCAGTTAGCCAGTTTGTTGATCGATTCGCCAGTCTGTGAATCCATCTGTATGCATGTCTGCACATTTGTCTGTCCATCTGTCCGTCTGCGTTGACACCTCATTGTCTGCAAATGTGTCTTTCCGTCAGCCCCACGTATCCCTCTTGTCTTGGTCATTCAATCGCTCGCTCCTCCTTCTTGTGCATCCATCTCACCCGTGCGCTTCTGCCAATAGTTGTCTACCACACGCCGCTGCCCGTGAGCCCCGGTCCCCCTCTGTGCCCTGCGCCTGTCCCCGTCTCCCTGCCGGTCTGCTGCGGCCCGTGCACCGCTTCTCCCTCCCTTTGTGTGCGTGTGTGTGTGTATGCGTGCGTGCGTGTGTGTATGCGTGTGTGTGCGTGTGTGTGCGTGCGTGTGTGTGCGCGCGTGTGTGTGTGTGTGCGTGTGCGTGCGTGTGTGTGTGTGTGCGTGTGTGTGCGTGCGTGTGTGTGCGTGTGTGTGCGCATATTATGGGGAGCGCTAGTGTCGTGGCTCGCGTGCTGCGCTACGAACCTGGCGACCTGGGTTCGTTTCCCGCTCACGGTCAACTGAAGATTATTTGAACTGGTCCTGGGCCTCCCCTAGGTCGACTCAGCCTCAAATGAGTACCCGGTGCTGTGTGTAAACATCGCCACTGGGGATACAAAGGCGTCCGGGCGTGGTGCTGGCCACCCACCCCCTCGTGTACTGTTCCGGCCCTCATAGGTACTCGCTAACAGCACGTGCCCCAACAGTCTGGTAAAGCTACACGGGGGATCTTTGTCTTTGTGTGTGTATGCGTGTGTGCGTGTGTGTGTGTGTGCGTGTGTGTGTGCGCGTGTGTGTGTGTGGGTGTGTGTGCGTCATCGTGTGTGTGTCTGTGTGTGTGCGTAATCGTGTGTGCGCGTATGCGTGTGTGTGCGTAATCGTGTGTGTCTGTGTGTGTGCGCGTATGCGTGTGTGTGTGCGTGTGTCTGTGTGTGTGTCTGTGTGCATGTGTGTGTGTGTGTCTGTGTGCGTGTGTGTGCGTGTGTCTGTGTGTGTGCGCGGAACGCAGCGGCTCGCAAACTGGGCGGGCATGAGGGCGCGCTAGGAAACGCATCGACATTTTAATATTTGACATTTTGTCCCGAATTTCATTTACGTAAAAAAAAAAGCCCGTTTATTTATTATTACTTTCATAAAAGCCCGTGTGGATAAATAATTAGGGCTATGACAGAGTGTTCTTTTTAATAAATGCATTGCTTTGTGGGGTTTGTGATTAATTATGCGTTGGGACACAATGCCACGGGATCGGTGCTTGGTCACTCATTTTCCACGAGGGATAGACTCAACCACCACCGTCGCCTCCATCACCACCGCTACCAGGACCACCACACTACAACTACCATCATCATCGTTGTCAACACCACTACCAGGATCACCGCGATCACGACAAAAACAACCACCACTACAACAACCACCATCACCATCGTCATCACCACCGCTACCAGGACCACCGCCATCACTACCACCACCGCCATCACTTCCGCCACCATCACCACCTGCCACTACAACAACCATCGCCATTATCATTACCACAGCCAGCACTACCGGCATCACCACCACCACAACAACCGCCATCACCACTGCCATCCTGTGTTACCATCCCATTCATATGACATCTCCCGCCTTGTACAGTATTGCCCTTTCCCTGAGCTTACCGTAAATGTAACATTAGCATGTCCTGTGCATAAAACTGTGAATAATCAGTTCTTGCACGCGTGATGGGACTCGTGCACAGACCCAGGCATCATGATGGCTGGTGCCATTTTGGTAACTTGTTTGTTGTCCTTACCCCCCACCTCCGATGATCACGGTTGGCTACGTACGGTACAACAAAATCAGCGATCGGATATCTGCCAATATTTGGAAGGGGCTAGGCAGTGGCGTTGCCCATAGGGGTGTGTGCCTCTGCCCATCTATGGCCTTGTGAAACCTGAATCGAGGTGTCTATTGTACCGATGCCGCTCAGTCGAGCCGACAGCCACGTTAGATAATTATCGATTCATCTAGGAGTTCATCACTGCGTCGAGTCATTGGCAAGCCATCCGTGGGTCACATAATTCCATTGGTTAGCAAAGCGCTGCGTGAAACGCCCCACCCTTTTATATTTTTTTACCATCGGCCAATATCTGCGTGATGTTAGCCAATCGCATGGCAGCGGATGGATATTTTTCACGTGGGAATCACTCACGGGGAGACTCGGGACTCCTGCACCAATCGGCAGCTGAGAGCGGCGGCGAGATTCAAATCGCCTGCGCCGCCTGCGCCGCCCGTCCGCTCCTGACGTGCCCACAGGGTACGGTGGGTCCTGGGCGCCTGAGGTCACCCGCTTTGGGCGTTCCACCACGCCGCTAGAGTCTCGCCAAAAGGTCCCCTTCGTTGAAGTGAAACGAACCACTTGAGGAAGACTTGGTGAGATGGCGCAATCCAAGCGGCTCGAATAGGGCCGAGGCGGCGTTCACTCGCTCTCGTTACTCACCTCTGGGGTGAACGTCATTTCTGGTGTCGTTATTATTTGTTGTTGTTCCAGTTATCAATTTGCACGTTGGTCTGTACTGCGGCTTGTGGCGACGTTGGCACGAGACGACTAAACAGAGCGTCTACGGCTTGCTAGGGAGCGCCTGTCGCTCGCCAACCACCACGGGCACGTGGAACTCTCTCCGCCGTCTACGGTCGTCGCACTTCAGTTGAATGTCGATCGCGCTCTTGCCATGCCGCCTACGTTGGTGAGGGCCGAGCGATACCACGGCGCTTACCTCCCTGCCGCGCTCATTGGGGTCCCGTTGTGTCCAGGGAGGGTGGAGACTCCATTGGGCAGAAGTGGATTTCCAGATTGAGCAGGGACTTCCTCCTCCCCACTTGACCTCCTCTGGCCGTTCACCTATTACTGTGGGTACCGCTCGACTTACGAGGGATGTGTTCTTCAAAAAAACACTCGCAAAACGAAATTTCGGGCAGTCATTCCAACTCTACGCCTAACCTAAAGCTAAACACCTATATCGCTTTGCACAGTGTAAAATCATAATAAAGAACAAATATTAAAACTATTGTATCATAATTAATAAACTGATAAAAAAATAAACCTTCTGATGGAACTCGCCAAAAGCCCTGCATGTTGGATTGAGTGGCGAGGCGATGTGGAGGCGTCGCTGCTGCCACTGCGGGGACGCCGTGGCGCTGTCGCGGGTCGATGACGACGCAGCCGCCCCGGGTGGCCTCTTGTTGGATGATCTGACTGGCACGTGTGGCCGGAATGAAACTTTGTTCATGCGAAAATTCGGTTTCGTTCATTGAAAAAGTGTCCGCGACTAGTCAGTTGCGTTAACGCGAAATTTCGTAAATCGAGGGGAACCTGTGCTATCATTTTTCTCAATCGGAGCACAGCAACCCTCAATTCACCGCCCCGGCTGCGTCCGGGACAAAGCCGCCAACCGGGGTCGTCCGTGGCTTCCCTCTCTTCCGCAAAACCCAGCGGCAGCCGCCCCCCGATTGTTACCGCGGTGAAGCGGGCCTAGCGTGGCATCATCGCGGGCGTTGTGTACGCTCGTGAATGCGAGTGGTGGACGGGCAGATGGAGAGAGGCGCCGGGTGACGAATCCGTGCCGCCCCCCCCCCCCCTCCCTCTGTGCAGATGAACTCGAGCATGAACATGGGCAGCGTGAGCAGCTCTGAGGACGTGAAGCCGCCCCTGGGTCTGCATGGGAACATCCGCCTGGGATCCCCGCTGCCCTTCCCCAACCCGCTCTGCCTCCCCAAACACATCTGCGCCATCTGCGGCGACCGCTCCTCCGGTAAACGCGGCGGCTCGTCCCGGCGAGCGCGGCGGATGGTCCCATTCCACAGCCGGTGGCCACTGTCACCCAGTCCGCTTGCTCGTGCCTGGCTCTGCTCGAAGCCTCCTTGTCGGTGTGTTTGTGTGTGTCTCGGTATGTCTGTGTGTGTCTGTGTGTGGGAGTGGTAGTGCATCGGTTAGCGCGCTGCGCGATGATCCCGGCGACCCGAGTTCGATCCCGCTCACGGCCATTACCGTTGACGATTATCTGAACCGGTCCTGGGCCTCCCCTAGGTCGACTCAGCCTCAAATGAGTACCTGGTGCAGTATGTAAACATTGCTACGAGGGAGTCAAAGGCAGCTGGTCGTGGCCCCCCACCCCCTCGTGTGCCGTGCCGGCCTTCATAGGTGCTTCCTGACAGCACTTGTCCCAACAGTCTATTAAGGCTATACAGGGGATCTTTGTCTTTGTTCTGTTTGTGTGTTCTGTGTGTGTGTGTTCTGTGTGTGTGTATGTTCTGTGTGTGTGTGTGTGTGTTCTCTGTGTGTGTATGTTCTGTGTGTGTGTATGTTCTGTGTGTGTGTGTGTTCTGTGTGTGTGTGTATGTTCTCTGTGTGTGTGTGTTCTGTGTGTGTGTGTGTATGTTCTCTGTGTGTGTGTTCTGTGTGTGTTTTGTGTGTGTGTATGTTCTGTGTGTGTGTGTGTTCTGTGTGTGTGTATGTTCTGTGTGTGTGTATGTTCTGTGTGTGTGTGTGTGTGTATGTTCTCTGTGTGTGTGTTCTGTGTGTGTGTATCTTTATTTAACATCTATTTTGACCACGTAGTTCGTGAAGCCTTCAATAGCTGTACCGGGGGAATTTCCATTTGGTACAGATATAATGGGAGGCTGATCGATGCCCGGGTGCGATCAAGGGGTGGCTCCCTATTGGTCAACCACGTTATGTATACCGATGATTTGGTAATAGCTGCTCATTCAGAGGAGGAGTTGGAGATGCTGCTGCTGAGACTGGAGTGTGCCACTAAGAGGTGGGACCTTACCATCAGCCCCACCAAAACTAAGCACCTGCCTGGGTATTTTGTACCATCTGACACTCCACCCCCACAACTCCCAATCGGTGATGGGGCAGTAGTGGAGAAAGTGGAGAGTTTCTCATACCTGGGTAGTGTGCTTATGACCGGCTCCAGTTTAACAGCAGAGGTCTCACTCCGAATCAGTCGAGCGGCAATATCTTTTCATCGGTTGCGTAACGCTGTGTGGAAGCTGCCTGGTCTGTCGCTCCGCACGAAGCTTCAGGTCTTATCGGACACAGTCATTCCCTCCCTTCTCTACGCTTGCGAAACGTGGACCCCCCTAATGGAGCATCTTCGCCGGTTTGAAACATTTAGGCTGGCCTGCCTACGATCCATCCTGGGTTTAACCAGGCTGGATTGTGTGAGGAGCTCACAAATCCTTGAAAGATCTGGGCAAAGTCTCATCGGTGAGCTCCTCCGGCAGGCAAGGCTGCGTTGGCTGGGTCATGTAGCCCGCATGCCCAGCCACCTGCATGCCTAAACAGCTTTTGTTCGAGGGGGCTAAACGGGCGCAGCATGGGCTAGAGAAAAGATGGAGTGATGTGGTACAGGAGGACGTGGAGCTGAGTGGACTTGCCGATGACTGGTACCAGCGGTGTCAAGATCGGCCTCTGTGGAGGAGGCTCGTGAAGGACGCTACTGGGCAGTTGGAGGCAGTCGCCCTCCAACAACAACAGAGGGTGGAGGAGCGACGCTCACAACAACGAGCGGAGCACAGTAGGGGGCACAGGTGGTGCATCAGCCAGTCATCTCGGTCATCTCAGTCAGTCGACCCGTGGCACCTGGGTCTGCCCCGTGACCTCCTGCCAGCGGGCGTTCGACACTTCACGTGGCCTCAAGGTGCACATAGCCTGGCACAAGCTTCGTGGTGACGTCACCACCACTTAGTGGCGAATGGCGGTTGTTGTTGTATGTTCTGTGTGTGTATATTCTGTATGTGTGTGTGTTCTCAATGGGATTCCATTGGGCGTGGGCCGTGGCTGCCGACGAGTCAGCGGTGCTCTCGTGTCCAGTGAACAATCGGCGGTGGCCGTGCCGCCCCTAGCTCTTGCCGTCCCTGGCAGCGCACATCCCCACGCTCCCCAGTCCGCGATGAGAGTTCTAATGGACGTGTGGCCACCACGGGGGAAAAAAAAAACAACCACCACATTAATTGGTTCCCTTTGTTTGCGTTCCCACTCTGGATTTGCAATCACAGAGTGTCACGTAGGGCTGATTTTATTTGTATTTGTCATATCCTCGTGTTTTTCTCCCTTTGTGTATCGGTAAGCATGTTTTATTCTCGCTTCTGTCCATCTTTATGTATGCTCTGCGTATACGCGCGTGAGTGCGGCGTGCGTGTTTGTGCCCGCTCGTCCCAGCTGGTGAGCGCTGTGCTGCACTACGAACCCGGCGACCCGAATCCTATTCGCGCTCACGGCCACCAACGACACCGGTGGTAGCGATTATCTGAACCGGTCCCGGGCCTCCCGTGGGTCGACTCGACCTCAAACGAGTACCCGGTGCGACGCGTAAACATCGCTGCTGGGGAGACAAAGGCGGCCGGGCGTGCGCAGTGCCGGCCACCCACCCACGCGGCCTTCGTAGGCGCTACTCGCGAACAGCTCTTGCCCCGACAGTCCGTCGAGGCTACGCGGGGTGTCTTTTTAACACGTAGGCTTTTGCGACCAACGTCATCCATGATATATATTTCCGCGATCTAACCCAAAAAAACCCATATATTATGGGGTGTCTGTGCGTGCGTGCACCAGGCAAGCACTACGGCGTGTACAGCTGCGAGGGCTGCAAGGGCTTCTTCAAGCGCACGGTGCGCAAGGACCTCACCTACACGTGTCGCGACACCAAGGGCTGCATCGTGGACAAGCGGCAGCGCAACCGCTGCCAGTACTGCCGCTACCAGAAGTGCCTCAACACCGGCATGAAGCGCGAAGGTGAGCGCGGTGCGCCCGCCGGCTAGAGTCCACTCCAGACTAAAGTCCACACCAGGCTAAAGTCTGCTCCAGGCTAAAGTCGGCTCCAGGCCAAAGTGCACTCCAGGTTGAAGTTCACGGAGGCTACAGTCCACTCCAGGCTAAAGTCCGCTCCAGGCTAAAGTCTGCTCCAGGCTAAAGTCCACTCCAGACTAAAGTCCACTCCAGGCTAAAGTCCACTCCAGACTAAAGTCCACTCCAGACTAAAGTCCACTCCAGGCTAAAGTCCACTCCAGACTAAAGTCCACTCCAGACTAAAGTCCACTCCAGGCTACAGCCCACTCCAGGCTAAAGTCCACTCCAGGCTACAGTCCACTCCAGGCTACAGCCCACTCCAGGCTACAGTCCTTTCCAGACTAAAGTCCACTCCAGGCTAAAGTCCACTCCAGGCTAAAGTCGGCTCCAGGCCAAAGTGCACTCCAGGTTGACGTTCGCTGAGGCTACAGTCCGCTCCAGGCTAAAGTTCACTACAGGCTAAAGTTTTCTCCAGGCTGAAGTCCACTGCCGGAACGAAGGTTTGGGCGATGGGCCACCGCCCAAGTGTGCTCGACCGGACGTGAAGATCCCGTGTGGAAGCACCGCTCGGTCCACTCAGCCTAAAATGAGGATCCAGTAATGAGTCTCTCCTAGGCCGACTTAGCCCTAAGTGAAGTGAGGAGCCACTGTGAGAAGCCATCGGGCCGAGAGAGCCCAGGGAGAGCCCAACTCGCATGAGGGGTGGCACGACGCGACACTGCCACCTTCTGACCCTTGCAGCGCCACGCCTGCAGCATCCGGCAAGCACTCATGAAGTGCTAGGCAGGCTCCAAGCTGCTTAGCTTACACAATCCGACAAGATGGGGCGGATTTTGGGGTGATGAAAGCTTGACATTGTCAGTGTGGGCCTTTTGGAAGACCGGTGCCCCTCGTTTGGTTATCGGGAGATGCACCCCCCCCCCCGCACCCCCCCACCAAAGACACAATGAGAGGTGATAATCTACCTGTCGCCAAAACAATTCGGGCATCGCGCGTCGTCCAAGATTATCGGCCGTTTCCGCTCGCGTGCCGGGAAGCGCTGCGGCGACCGTCGATCGCGTCCCACCGGCGCTCGCTTAGAACGCCGCCGCGGGCTGGGTATCCGGGCGCGCTATGCGCGGGGCGGAGCCACCGTGGGTCTGTGAAACGAGTCGCGGACTGAGACGACGGCGTCGTACGTCGCCGCGGCGGGGACGAGGCGATCGGGACCCTACGGGAGAGCTCCGATCGGTAGCCGAACTTGTCGAACGCCCCCAACACGCGCCCAACGTCGTTGCCGGGATCAAACGGTGCCGATTCCCGCCGCGTGCGGCACCTCAAGGCCCTGAGGAGCTCCCTCGGCGCGATTGGCCAGCTCAACGGCGTGCACGAAACTTGGCTGCACCCTCCTCAGAAGGAGTCTCGTGACTCGGTGAAGCTTTCGCTTGTGAACGAGCGAAGTGATCGTCGTAGTAATAATAATAATAGTACAATTTGTAACGCGCGCAAATTTGCAGACGTAGTGGCCGCAACTCAGAGGCGCGGAGCCAAGCTCAGAGTCGCTCAAAAGCATGATTGTAGAGGTGAGTTTTTAAGTGTCTCTTGAAGGAGGCGATTGAGGTGATGCTGCGAATGTGCAGAGGGATATCGTTCCAGACTGTTGGGGCTGCCACCGAGAAGCTGCGCGTAGACATGACCATCCTGGATCTTGGTATTGAGAGGAGGTCGTGAGTCGCGCTGCGCAGGCATCTGGCATGTGCTGAGCTGCAAGTTGTCAGTAATGAAGAAAGATACGGCGGGCAGGCGGATATGAAGGCATTGTGGCAGAGGCGGCGGTCTTGTATGTGACCCTACTGGCAATGGGGAGCCAGTTGAGAGCGCGGAGACGAGCTAGTGAGTCGAGGCGGGGATGAGTGTGGGCAATGACGACGCGTGCTAGGTTATTTTGTAGTCTTTGAAGCTTCCTTAGGTTGCCAGCGGAGGTCCGGACAAGGACGGAGTTACAATAGTCAAGGCGAGACCCAACTATGCAACATGCCAAAGTGTTGGCAATTTCAGTAGAGATGAGAGGACGTATGTGTCTAAGAGCCTTCAGGTGAAAGTTACATGAGCTGATGATATGGTTGGTTTGACGGTCGAAGGATAAAGTTGAATCTAGGATGACACCGAGGTAGCTGAAGTGGTTGGTGAACTTGATGCTATGACCGAAGATGTGTATGTGTGTGGGGAGTGCTGCTGAATTGAGACGTTGCTTGGTACCTAACATGATGGCCACTGCCTTTTTCGGATTAAGGGCTAGGTTGTGTGCAGTGAACCATTGTTGCATGGCGGTGGTACATTCCGAGAGCCTCTCGAATCCAGATGCATTGCTAGAATCGATGGCGGTGAATAGAATCGTGTCATCCGCGTATGAGTGATGCTTAACACCGAAGCTTGCAATGAGTCGGCCGATCGGGGAAGTGTAGGCTGTGAAGAGCAGGGGACCTAGAACAGAGCCCTGGGGAACCCCGCATAATGCTCTTGTTTCAGGCGATGTGGACATGCCCACCCTGACTGAGGATTGCCGGTCAGAAAGGTACGAAGCTATCCACTTGAGTGCTGAGCCGCATATACCGAAGTCGGATTTCAGGAGGGAAGTAAGGAGCGAATGGTTGATGGTGTCGAAGGCTGACGAAATGTCCAGACTTACAAGTGCAACAGTTGAGCCGGAATCAACGATCGTTAAAATGTCATCGAGCACCCTAGTGAGTGCTGTTTCTGTGGAATAGTTTTGACGGTAAGCTGACTGGAAGTTGCAGTAGTTTGCGGAGGAGGTGACGTGTGGTTGTAGCTGGGCGAGGGCTAGTCGTTCAAGGAGTTTAGAGAGGTTCGAGAGGTTAGTGATGGGACGATAACTAGATGGGTCATCCGGATCTAGATTTGGTTTCTTTAACAAGGGAGAAACCAGGCCAGATTTGAGGTTGGACGGAAAACACCCCGAAGAGAAGGAGGCATTTGCGATGTTCCTGATCATGATGGTGAGTTCCGGAGCACATTGCTTGAACAAGGAACCTGGGAGCACGTCGAGTGGAGATGACTTCAAAGGAAGTGATTCAATTAAAGCGAAAACGTCTTTTGTAGACACAGGCTTTAGCATAGTTAGAAGAGTGTCTGGGTTAGTGCTTACAATTTTAGGTACCATGAGCGGGGTACAATGGTGCAATGTGTCAGTAGACGTGCACGAGTTTGCACGTCTACTGACACATTGAAACCGTTCAAAAGTCACCATCCCTCCCATCCCACATCAACCACCTCCAGTCCCTCACGATTCCCGCTGCATGCCGGTTCACACCCGCCCTGCCAAAGATCCCCCGTATAGCCTTTGACAGACAGTTAGGGCAAGTGCTGTTAGCAAGCACCTATGAAGGCCGGCACAGCACATGTGGCAGTGGGTGGCTAACAACACTCCCGGCCGCCTTTGTCTCCCCAGTGGCGATGTTTACACACCGCACCATGTGCTCATTTTAGGCTGAGTAGATCTAGGAGAGGCCCATGACCGGTTCAGATAATCTTCACTGGTGTTGACCGTGACCGGAATTGAACCCAGATAGTCGGGTCCGTAGCGCAGCGCGCTAATTGCTATATAACCACCCTGATACACACAGACACACAGACACACGTACACATACAGACACAATAAGACAAAGATCCCCCATATAGCCTTAACAGACTGTAGTGGCAAGTGCTGTTAGCGATATGAAGTCGGGAACGGTACACGAGGGGGTGGGTGGCCAGCACCACGCCCGACCGCCTTTGTCTCCCCAATGGCGATGTTTACACACCGCACCAGGTACTCATTTGAGGCTGAGTCGACCTAGGGGAGGCCCAGAACCGGTTCAGATAATTGTCACTGGTGTTGGCCGTGAGCGGGTCGCCAGGTCCGTAGTGCAGCACGCTAACCAATACACTACCGCTCCCCATATATAGACACACACAAACACGTAGACACAGACACATGTACACGCACACACACGTACACGCACACAGACACACAGACAAACATACACACACAGATACATGTACATAAACAAGCACACATCACACATAGACACACGTCCACACACGTCCACACACAGACACACACACAGACACACGTACACACACAGACCCACGTACACACACACCATACGTGCAGCTCGCGCACACAAAGCGACCTGACGCGCAGACACGCGGATGGCCTGGCGCGTCCACATGACGGCGGCTACAGCGTCCCCCCCCCTCCCCTACTCTGTGCCCCACCACCGCCGCCGCCACTGCCGACGCCACCGCAGCCGTGCAGGAGGAGCGCCAGCGGGGTAGGGAGCGCGAGGACTGCGACAGCGAGGGCGGCGTCCCGCTCGAGGACATGCCGGTCGACAAGATCCTGGAGGCCGAGCTCGCCGTGGAGCCCAAGACTGAGGGCGGCTGCGAGCCCGGCGGCGGCGGTGGCGGCGGCGGCGGCAGGAGCCGTACCGCCTCCCCCGGCACCTCGGTGCGTCCGTGTGTGCGTGAGTGTGAGAGGTCCTGGCAAGGATTGGTCAACATCGCCTTGCCAGGCATGCCATGGAGAAGCTTGCTGAGCCCCAAAGTAGTTTCAAGAAAGGGTGGTCGTGCATGGTCGCCATATTCTCTGTCCGTCTGCTACAGCAGAGGTGTTGGGGAATGCCAACGGGACCTACATCTCTGCTTTATTGACCTGGTAAAGGCCTATGATACCATCAATAGGCCATGGCTCTGGGTTGTTCTTCGTGCCCGGGTAAAGGCCCGGGTAAAGCTTCGTGGCCAGAAGTTCACGTTAGGGTGCAACAGGGATATCCTCTGGCTCCCACATTATTTAACATCACCTTTGACCACGTAGTCTGAGAAGCTTTTCATGGTTCTTCCGGAGAAATTTATATCTGGTACACATACAGTGGGAGGCTGATCGATGCCCGGTGCGGTTGAGGGATTTCTCCCTATTGGTCAACCATGGTATGTATGCTGATGATCTGGTGATTGCTGCTCACTCTGAGGAGGAGTTGGAGGCACTGCTGCTAAACCTGGAGCGTGCCGCTAAGAGGCGGGGGTCTTACCATCAGCCCCACCAAAATTAAGCACCTGCTTGGGTATTTTGTGCCATCTAACACTCCACCCCCTCAATTCCCAATTGGTGATGGAGCAGTTGTGGAGAGAGTGGAGAGTTTTCAATACCTGGGCAGTGTGCTTATGACCAGCTCCGGTTTGACAGCAAAGGTCTCACTCCGAATCAGTCGAGCGGCATTATCTTTTTATTGGCTGGCTACGTAATGCTGTATGGAAGCTACTTGGTCTGTCGCTCCACACGATGCTTCGGGTCTTCTAGGCCGTCATGCCTTCTCTACGCTTGTGAAACGTGGACCCCTCTAATGGAACATCTCCGCCAGTTCGGAACATTCAGGCTAGCCTGCCTCCGATCCATTCAGATTTTAACCAGGCTGGATTGTGTAAGGAGCTCACAAATCCTTGAAAGATCTGGACACATTCTCATCGGTGAGCTCCTCCGGCAGGCAAGGCTGCGTTGGCTGGGTCATGTAGCCCGCATGCCCAGCCACCGCATGCCTAATTGGCCAGATAGAGGGGGCTTAATGGGCACGACACAGGCTGGAAAAGAGATGGACTGATGCGGTACAGGAGGATGTGGCGCTGAGGGGACTTGCCAAGGTCGATCTTGGTGTCAAGATCGACCTTGAATACTTCACATGACCTCAAAGTGCACATAGCCTGGTACAGGCACCGTGGTGACATTACCGCCATTAAGTGCCGAATGGCGGCTGTTGTTGTTGTTGTGAGTTTGCATGTGAGTGAGTGCTTCAGTCAGTAAGTGAGTGTGAGTGAGCCTGACCGAGCGAGTGAGTTAGATATTCGAATGGAGAAACTTCGTCCCGTGACCTGACACCCACAGTACAATCGGTACTAATTCGGGGGTGGGAGTGTGTGCGTATATACATATACAAATATACAATTTCTAAAGCCATTCAACGTTTTGTGTTTTGCAGCCGAACGACCCTGTCACGAACATTTGCCAAGCGGCCGACAAGCAGCTCTTCACGCTCGTCGAGTGGTCCAAGAGGGTGCCGCACTTCTCTGAGCTCCCCCTCGACGACCAAGTGATCCTGCTGAGAGCCGGTAACACCCCCCCCTCACCACCACCACCACGGCTTCCTTCCTCCCTCACCGTGACCCCTTCTGGTTGTGCCGCCGCCAGGCCCCGCCTCGGCAGTCACGGTTATCGGCGGCCAAAGGGGCTGATCACGAGCGGTCCGAGTGTCGTCTGTCCGGTTTCGACACGCACTGTCTCATCAGCAGAGTCAGACTCGCTTGAATGATTCAATGCTGGTGAACTGCCAAATGTTGTAGGCAAGGACTCTCGCATCTTACCCAGAAGACAGAAACAATTGCTCAACTCTCATCCGCGTCCACCTCACTCCCTCCTTTCAATATCGGCGGTCTTCACATCAAATTGGTTCCCAATTTCACTTGCCTCCTTTCTGCCCTCTCTCCTGCGCGCTCGCTTGACTTGACGACGAAATCCACGCTCGCGTCAACACGGAGCCTCGGCTTCCTTCGGACGGGCCAGGGTCTTCGAGAACCGTCACCTCAAGACCCACACCAAGGTGGCAGTTTTGCAACGCCGTTTGTGTCTCCACCCTGGCTCTACGGCTCAGAGACCTGGGCCCCATATAGGCGGCACATCGACATCCTGGAAGCCTTCCACACCAAGTCGTTCTGCGCTGAGGCGAGTGCAGCTAAACGACACCTCCGCTGGCTTGGCCAGGTGGTCCGCACGGCCTGATCACCGCCTCCCCCGTCGAGTTCTCTACGTCCAACTCAGGGCAGCCAAACGCTCCGCTCTGGGACATCAAAAGCACTTCAAGGACCACAGCAAGGACCCGCTGCAACATCGATCCCTCCAGCCTGGAACTCCGGGCGTTGGACAGGTCCACCTGGCGGTCCACCTGCGCCAGAGGGGTTCGGCACCCGGAAGTCGCCATCTTCGCAGAGGAGATGCGAGAGACGCACCCAGAGACACTGACGCGTAGCCGGGATAACGCCATCCGCCATCCGACACCCGACACGCTCCGCACGTGTCCCAGCTGCAGCGGCAGAGCGCACGGCTCTCGCGTCGGCCTCCACGGCCACGTGAAGTGGCACGAGCGCCAAAAACGCCGACCCATCCCTACCCCCCATCCACAAGAGGAGCAATCGCCATCATCATCGCCATCATCATCCTTGTCGATGGACAGCCAAGAGGTCTTAAAGATACGAGACGAGAGGCCTTGCTGATGAGGCCCGCGAGGCTGAAACGGGTCCCAAGTTTGCACGCTTGACCACGTGCCGCTGGTTAACGTGAGGCCAAGAGTAGTCTTGGTAGCTGAGGCACGCGTGTGTGCATTGTACAGTATGCGTATGCGTGTAGGTAATGTGTATGTAACGTGTTTGTAATGTGTGTGTGTATAATGTGTATGTAACGTGTGTGTAATGTGTGTGTGTGTATATAATGTGTATGTAACGTGTGTGTAATGTGTGTATATAATGTGTATGTAACGTGTGTGTAATGTGTGTATATAATGTGTATATAACGTGTGTGTAGTGTGTGTGTGTATATAATGTGTATATAACGTATGTGTAATGTGTGTGTATATAATGTGTATATAACGTATGTGTAATGTGTGTGTGTATATAATGTGTATGTAACGTGTGTGTAATGTGTGTATATAATGTGTATGTAACGTGTGTGTAATGTTTGTATATAATGTGTATGTAACGTGTGTGTAATGTGTGTATATAATGTGTATGTAACGTGTGTGTAATGTGTGTATATAATGTGTATGTAACGTGTGTGTAATGTTTGTATATAATGTGTATGTAACGTGTGTGTAATGTGTGTATATAATGTGTATGTAACGTGTGTGTAATGTGTGTATATAATGTGTATGTAACGTGTGTGTAATGTGTGTATATAATGTGTATGTAACGTGTGTGTAATGTGTGTATATAATGTGTATGTAACGTGTGTGCAATGTGTGTATATAATGTGTATGTAACGTGTGTGTAATGTGTGTGTGTATATAATGTGTATGTAACGTGTTTGTAATGTGTGTGTGTGTATATAATGTGTATGTAACGTGTGTGTAATGTGTGGGTGTATGTGTAGAGTGGCAGTGTTGCGGGTAGTGCTCTGCGCTACGAAACTGGACCACCCGAGTTCGATTCCTGCTCATGGCCAACACCAGTGAGCTGGTCCTGAACTTCCTCTCCTAGGTCGACTTGGCCTCAAATTAATACCTGGTGCAGTGTGTTAACATTTCTACTCGGGAGACAAGGGCGGCCGGGCGTGGTGCTGGCCACCCACCCACCCCCTCGTGTGCCATGCCGGCCTTCATAGGTGCTCGCGAACAGCACTTTCCCCAACAGTCTGCTAAGGCTATACGGGGGATCTTTGTCTTTGTGCGTGTGTGTTTAATGTGTAGGGTGGAACGAGCTGCTGATCGCGTCGTTCTCGCACCGCTCGATCGGCGTCTCCGACGGGATCCTGTTGGCCACGGGGCTGCACGTCCACCGCAGCAGTGCCCACAGCGCCGGCGTCGGCTCCATCTTCGACCGGTGGGCGCCGGAGCAGCCGCACTCCCACGCCACCAAATTCCTCCCACACCTCTCTCCAGAGCAGACGATTTTGATTGATTCGCACGGACATTTTGAGTGCGTTCATTTCTGCCGAATTCAATTCGATGCGGCACGCTTGTTGACGAGAGGGACGAGGAGGACGACCATTATGATGATGTGCATTTAATAATAATAATTAACATTTGTACAGTGGTGCATTTCATCCATAGATCCCAATGTGTATGGGAAGCAGGAAATAAACAGAACCTGCGGGGTGAACGGAGAGAAAGGCCAGCTTAGAGAGCGACATAGAGAGCGCTAACGTCTCCGATTGGCTTCCTACTCAAAGGCACAAAGCGATGCTCCCCAGGCCTGGGAGCAAGCGCCCCGCTGGTCACCGCTGGTCACCGCAGGAACAGAACCTGCACCTCGGGGGGTTGCTTGGGAGAGAGGCGGCGCGATAGATCTCCGGGACTTCGTTGGGAGAGCAGTCGGCTCCCGTAGACATCGCGCGTGCGCTGCTTTTGGCTTTGCGGGCGCCGTGACAACGGGCGTCGGTCGCGGACGTTCAGGGTTTCACGCCGGCAGAGGCCGCCCGCGAGAGCTACGAAGCCCCCTCGGTCACCGTCACCGGCGTCAGCCGCCCACAGCCCGGGTCCACCGTGACGGGGACGCACAGGAGGAAGTCCATGCGAGAGGTTTTTTTGTTTTGCTTTGGGTTAGATCGCGTACATTTAAGTGTTGTGTCGTCGTTAAAGCTGCTACCACCACCGCCCGACACAGCCAATTGGTGAGGTTTGTGACGTAAACAATACCTGCCAATTAGTCGCTATTTCAGCACAGCGATGTGTTGATAACGACGATCATCGTGATGAAGCTAGCTGTACAGTGAGGGAAAAAAGTATTTGATCCCCTGCTGATTTTGTACGTTTGCCCACTGACAAAGAAATGATCAGTCTATTATTTTAATGGTAGGTTTATTTGAACAGTGAGAGACAGAATAACAACAACAAAATCCAGAAAAACGCATGTCAAAAATGTTATAAATTGATTTGCATTTTAATGAGGGAAATAAGTATTTGACCCCCTCTCAATCGGAAAGATTTCTAGCCCCCAGGTGTCTTTTATACAGGTAACGAGCTAAGATTAGGAGCACACTCTTAAAGGGAGTGCTCCTAATCTCAGCTTGTTACCTGTATAAAAGACACCTGTTCACAAAAGCAATCAATCAATCAGATTCCAAACTCTCCACCATGGCCAAGACCAAAGAGCTTTCCAAGGATGTCAGGGACAAGATTGTAGACCTACACAAGGCTGAAATGGGCTACAAGACCATCGCCAAGCAGCTTGGTGAGAAGGTGACAACAGTTGGTGCCATTATTCGCAAATGGAAGAAACACAAAAGAACTGTCAATCTCCCTCGGCCTGGGGCTCCATGCAAGATCTCACCTCGTGGAGTTGCAATGATCATGAGAACGGGTGAGGAATCAGCCCAGAACTACACAGGAGGATCTTGTCAATGATCTAGAGGCAGCTGGGACCATAGCCACCAAGAAAACAGTTGGTAACACACTACGCCGTGAAGGACTGAAATCCTGCAGCGCCCGCAAGGTCCCCCTGCTCAAGGAAGCACATATACATGCCCGTCTGAAGTTTGCCAATGAACATCTGAATGATTCAGAGGACAACTGGGTGAAGTGTTGTGGTCAGATGAGACCAAAATGGAGCTCTTTGGCATCAACTCAACTCGCCGTGTTTGGAGGAGGAGGAATGCTGCCTATGACCCCAAGAACACCATCCCCACCGTCAAACATGGAGGTGGAAACATTATGCTTTGGGGGTGTTTTTCTGCTAAGGGGACAGGACAACTTCACCGCATCAAAGGGACGATTGACGGGGCCATGTACCATCAAATCTTGGGTGAGAACCTCTTTCCCTCAGCCAGGGCATTGAAAATGGGTCGTGGATGGGTATTCCAGCATGACAATGACCCAAAACACACGGCCAAGGCAACAAAGGAGTGGCTCAAGAAGAAGCACATTAAGGTCCTGGAGTGGCCTAGCCAGTTTCCAGACCTTAATCCCATAGAAAATCTGTGGAGGGAGCTGAAGGTTCGAGTTGCCAAACCTCAGCCTCGAAACCTTAATGACTTGGAGAAGATCTGCAAAGAGGAGTGGGACAAAATCCCTCCTGAGATGTGTGCAAACCTGGTGGCCAGCTACAAGAAACGTCTGACCTCTGTGATTGCCAACAAGGGTTTTGCCACCAAGTACTAAGTCATATTTTGCAGAGGGGTCAAATACTTATTTCCCTCATTATAATGCAAATCAATTTATAAAATTTTTGACATGCGTTTTTCTGGATTTTGTTGTTATTCTGTCTCTCACTGTTCAAATAAGCCTACCATTAAAATTATAGACTGATACTTTCTTTGTCAGTGGGCAAACGTACAAAATCAGCAGGGGAGCAAATACTTTTTTCCCTCACTGTAGTTACCGGCAAAACATCATGGTACTCGAATGGTAAATGTTGTGGGTTTGCTCTCCAACACACTGGCTTGCTGAACTAGTAACAAATGTTCATGTTTTGTTTACGTGGCAAACCTTACTAATTGGCTGTGTTGGGTGGTGGCCGGTTTAATATCACATTTATATTTAAGTGATCTAACCCTAAAAACCTCTTATGGATAAGATTGGTCATGAAAGCCTGCTACTAAGTGTTATACAGAGCAAGATACGTACACAAATTAATCAACTCCATAATATGTTAACTCGCAATTTTTTTAATTCTAGCAGGTAAGGCCCACTGAGCGATGTAGCTCTTTTTCAGAAGCGACCTGGCCATCACAGATGATAGCTCAACAAAGTGGCTGATCACGCGGAAATTTATAGCAGCCAAATATTCAAAGCGTGCGTCAAAACATGCAAACAGTGAATGCAGACTTGATGCCTTGCACAGGGTAACTTGATGTTCAAACTTGGTGTTTGAACATCTGAACGCCTGTTTTATTGCGAGATAGGGTAAAACCTATTCTTGTTTTTTTCGAGACCCCGGTGCAGAGCACGAACCGCGGTGCAGGGAACGGCGGGGGGGGGGTACAGAAACTCCGCGGACACAAGTTCCGAACGCCGTGCTCCTGGGTTTAGAAGAGGGGGGATATTTGGCTCGCTGCTGCCCCACCGAGTGGGCGAGGGGACGGTGAGGAAGAAATGGAATAATGAAAGGGAGGAGCACTTGGGAAGGAATAACTTACTCGCACTTAGTGAACTTATCAAGTGGTAAAAGCCCCGCATGAGATAGTATCGTTATAATTAACCGCATGTAAAGGCGCGTGGACGATGCTCCTAGCAAGCCCGTGGCTGCTGCCGCTGTCTCCTGGTCGAGTGGCACTTGGCGAGGAGCTGCGTGGCTCAGTGCGGGCCTTCGCTCGGGGGGGAGGTACAAAGCTCTCGCTCGTGAAATAAACAAAGCGCGCGAGCCTAGCGGATTCATTTAGTCACGAATTACGCCGTGGCCCTGGAGAGCGGGGACTCGCCGCTCGGCGGAGGATGTGGTCGCAGCCACGCCGCACGGCTCGGAGTCACGCGGACCACTTCGCTGCTGCTCGATAACGGGGTGGCGGGACGTGCGGATGCGGGGGTGGTGGGACGTGCGGATGCGGGGGTGGTGGGCGCTAGGAGCTGAGAGGCGCGGCGTCTGCTTTTAGGGTCCTCACGGAGCTCGTCTCCAAGATGCGGGACATGAATATGGACAAGGCCGAGCTGGGCTGCCTGCGTGCCATCGTCCTCTTCAACCCCGGTGCGGCACCACCACCGCCACCACCGCTACTACCACCGCCACTACCACCACCGCCGCCACCACGACCGCCTCCGCCAACACTGCCACCAGCGCCACCACCGCTACTACCACCACCACCACCGCCACCACTACCGCCAGCACCACCGCAACCACCAACGCAACCACCACCGCGACCACCACCACTGCCACCACCGTTACTACCGCCACAACCGCCACTACCGCCACCACTACCACCACCGCCACTACCGTCACCACCTCCACCGCCACCGCTACTACCACCACCACCACCACCGCCACCACGACCGCCTCCATGACCGCCTCCACGACCACCACCACCGCCTCCGCCAACACTGCCACCAGCGCCACCACCCCTACCACCACCACCTCCACCACCTCCGCCACCACCGCCACCACCGCTACTACCACCACCACCGCTACTACCACCACCACCGCTACTACCACCACCACTACCGCCACCACCACCACCACCGCTGCTTCTGCTGCTACTCTTACTGCAGCTGCTGCTGTCATTGCTGTTGCTCTTACGCTCGATGTCTGTATGTTGAACTTCTTCTGTACCATACATAGCCAACCATGCTAATCAGAGGTGCGACTGCTGCTAATGCTGCTGCTGACAGTGCAAGTGAGTGCGGGGAACGGTGGGTGTAGCGGTTAGCGCTACACTGCACTAAGAACCCAGCGACCCGAGTTCGATTCCCACTCACGGCCAACACCCAGTGACGATTATCTGAACCAGTTATGGGCCTCCCCTAGGTCGACTCAGCCTCAAACGAGTACCAAGTGCGATGTGTAAAAACCGGGGAGATGAAGGTCGTGTTGCTGGCCACCCGTTCCGGCCCTCATAGGTGCCCGCAAACAGCGCTTTCCCCAACAAGTCTGTTATGGCTAAACGGTGGGGTGGGGGTGGATCTTTGTCTTTGATGTGCGCTGGGACTCTGCTGACACAGACGCAAAGGGGCTGTCGAGCCCCAGTGACGTGGAGGCACTCCGGGAGAAAGTCTACGCATCGCTGGAGTCCTACTGCAAGCAGAAATACCCCGATCAGCCCGGCAGGTGAGTGGGGAAGACGGCCACTCCGCCCGCTCCTTGAGCCGCCCCTCCGCGGCCGCCTGGACTGGAGCGGCCTTTGCCCGGTCCCAGCAACAGTCCAGACACGGCACACAGTCTGAACGGAAGCTGACATGTATGTTGAATGTCTTTTGTGCCGTACGTAGCCCGCTGTGCTAATCGGGCACGCGGATTATGTGCTGGGAATTGCACTGAAACAGAATTATACAAAAACATGTTTTTTTATTGTCCCAGGTAAGGCCCACTAAGCTATTTAGCTATTTTTCAGAACCGACCTGGCCACAAATGATAGCTCACCGAAGTGGCTTATCAAGTGGAAGTTTATCGCAGCCAAATAATCTAAACACATGTTTGTAAATGTATAAATAGTGAAGTAGTAAACAGTGTCAACAGTTGTGATGCTGTGCAATTGTTGTTCCCCTTCCGGCCTGCCCAGGTTCGCGAAGCTCTTGCTGCGCCTGCCCGCCCTGCGTTCCATCGGCCTCAAGTGCCTGGAACACTTGTTTTTCTTCAAGCTCATCGGCGACACTCCCATAGACACCTTCCTCATGGAAATGCTGGAGGCCCCCCATCAGATGACTTGAGATTGGGGGGGGGGGGGTTGTCAGGCGGGTGGGCGGGGTGGATGGGTGGTTGGGGGGGTCGGAGATGCCTCTTCGGAGTTTTCAAACATTTTATCAAATTCGCACGTCCGGAGAAAAATCTCGTGGGACTTTATGCAAAAACTCCCGCTCGGCTCGGAGGCGGAGGAGGGAGCGGGTTCCACACGTGGCAGCGTGAAGCTTTTCACACGACGAGCTGCAGCTGAAAATTGATTTCCTTCGTAAAAAGAAAATAAAACCCTTTGATTTTGTTGTGAATTTGAGGCCGTCAAAAATTATCGCGGCCTTGTGTTTTATAGCCTCTACCGCTGCCAAACGCAGATCCTCTCCGTACGTTTCAAGCTTCGAGGGGCCGCTTACCTTCTGCTTTGCAAACGAGACCGGGGAAGATCTGTTAAAACATTTTAGAAATTACAACTTAATCGTCGGCCAAACAGCTGCTTCAAGACTCGTGCGCGCAAGTTGAGAAGACGTTCGAGACGTGGCGTCGATCCTCGTACAGGATTAAAATCGCGTTGTCGTTGTGAGAGCAATGATCATTTTTTGGTGAGCATTGTTTCGGAAGAAACTTTAATTAGTTTGCCACTAATTTCTCTGCATATTTAAAATTGGAATGTATTTGCAATTTTATTTAAAAACTAATTTTATCACAGGTGTGCAATTTCCATCAAGGCGCAGACAGCAAAAACATTTCCTTTTGTTGTGGAACTCCGCCACAGACGGCACAGCCACACGACAGCCGAGATCTGTACGGGGCCTATCCTCCCCAGCCACGGGGCCACATCCCCTTCAGCCGGATCTCACGAGAGTTCTCGTTTTCGACGAACAAGCGCGTGGACGTGGGTTTAACAGCGTTAAGTGCAAACAAAACAAATTCATCTTATTGATAAAATTATGTTGAGTACGGAAAAAGAAGACAACCTCCTTCATCGCAAAACACTGATGAAGTGCGTAAATGTTGGTCCTTAAAATAGACAGCTGCCGATTGGCCCCTGCGACCTGGCCTAGCTGGCCACAAGGAGAGCAGAATTCGCGTCGTGAAATTGCCGAGCGTGCACCGAGTACCTTCGCTTCAACATCGCTTGCTCCCAGCATGCAACCGCGTGTTGTGGAGGACTCGTAGTGCCGGCTCCCCCAGCATGCAGTGCGTTGAGCGACGCAGCTGTAATCAAACAGAAGCCAGGCTTGCGCTGATGTCCTTTTAAATTTTGTAACTTTCACTTGTTAATGTTTTTTGTTGTTGCTGCAATTAACGACGCTTCAAACTCAGGCCAAACAGCCCATGACACGGTACATTGCGAGTTGCCTACGTGGTCGGAGGCGGCTGTGTTCGTTTGTTGGGGCTCCGTCATGATGACTTGCAGGAACAGATTTAGTCGGTGAATGCTTGAACTGAAATTTGAGATTGTTGGCATTTTCAAACTCAATATATCAGAATGTAACATTGCCAAGTTGTGGCGTTTGGAAAGATCTAATCATTTTTTTTCCAGAGAAAGAAAATGACATTTTTAGGATTTTTTGATAATAGTTCCGTCCTCGCAAAATGAAAAGCTTTTAGAAGGATTAATAAAACATGCAATTTATACATAGTATGTACACATACATTGAATGCAAAACAACTTTAATAAATTATAATCATCCGTTATTTATCCAGGAAAGCCACACTCTTGAGTGCCAAGACTCTGGTCTCGAGGGAGCGGTCCTGCGTTGGGAAGTTCGTTCGGTCTACTCCACGTTTTGAGGAGGAGTTTCCTCCCCGCGCGTGGGGAAAGACGCCGGGGAGAATTTCCTCGACAGAGGATGGCCAGGAATCAACGGGCACCTTGCGTATACTCTGTGGGGTTTCCTCAGCAAGGCACTTTCTCTTGAAGGAAAAAAACTTTAAAGCATAAGCATCTATTTCTTGTTGTTGTTGTTGTTGTTAAAAGACGGACCTGTACAAACTGTGTTACTGCCTGTGGTCGCGGAAACGACCGTCGAGGTTTTGAATACCAATTTTTTTGGTGATTGTTGCATGAACTATGGGATAATGCAGATTATTGATATAACGTTTAAATTATCTCTGTCGGTTAATCCACATTTGTAATGCACATTTACAGGAATTTAAAAGCCATCACTGATAATGGGATGATGTAATACTTATATAAATAATTAAATCCCTATCATTAGTACGCTAGAGACACCAAACTGGGTAGAACCCGTGCAGTTACGCACATACACATCATGCATTAGTATTATTATGATTGTTATACGTGTGTGTGTGTATTTGAGCACAAAATATGCATTAAGATAAAAAAAAAAGCCTGGAATATGTTTGCCGTAAACGCCTGTGGACGTCTCGTAACGTGGCAAAAGCTCCACAGCACATTAATGAGAGCCATCTGCATAGACACTCGTTTATTTAACCGTGCAAGGCCGTGTCAGATTTGTTATCCGTGTTTGAGAAATGCAGCCCTAGCGGGAGAAATGTATCCCAGCTGGAATTGAGTGTCCGAGTGGGGTTGGTGGCGTGGTGATTTTTTTTACGCTTTATCGGTCACGCTCGATCTAACCCTGTGAGCCGCACGTGCTTTGTAACCCGAACGCCACCACCAGCACCACAGCCGATGTCGCACGTCATCACGCCGGCATAGCCAAGCAGGTACCAATCCCGACAGAAATTACCGGCGGCCGTCGCCAGGAGCCAAACTTCGTGTTTCAGCGGTAAGAGGAGAGGCGCCTCTCCTGGCTCGCGATGTCACAGCTACGACGAGGCGACCGAGCAGAGCCAAGCGGCTGTGTTTCCCAGGCTATCTGACATGAGTTCAGCTCTTTGAAATGTGACAAGAAAGGGCTTTTCGAGCGCGTGGGTCGTGCGTGCGCCACTGACACCACTGCACGTGACGCGCGACCGCTTCGCCAACTCGAGAGTGTGCCTGGAAGTCGATTTTCAGTTTTTATTTGAACAGCGTTCAAAACTTGTACCTGACAGCTTGCGATACACAGCGTTCTGGTGCACGTTTTGCGAGATTTGTATTCGGAGGGTTGCGCGTGTGTTTTTTTGTGATAAAAACGTAAGTGAGCGACGGTGAGAGCTTTTGCCGGGTTGTGAACACCCTCTGCAGCTCGCACGGCCGAGTCCGCGTGGGCTCCAGTGCCTCAGACATCAAGAGAAGACAATCCGGAATGGCCGACCATTGTTTTTGTTGTTGCTACAGAGTGTCAAGAGTCAACATGGGGAAGGGGGTGGGGGAACTAAAAACAACTTTTTGCAAGGAACAGGGTACCTGTGTGTCTCAGATTTTCATAAAGCGTGGAGATGGGGGGGGGGGGGGTTTTACGCATTGAATTGTCGCTGCTCGTTTTACTCGGCTGTTCATGGGAATGGTCCGGGCTCATTAATGTGATGAGGTGAGATTGTTGACAACTTAAAACGTCGTTCTTAGAGTTTGTGAACGCCAATCAGATTTTTACCGGTAAGCTTTCGTTGGTTTTTATTCACTTAAATGTCACCTGGAAGTAAAACAAATCAATTGCTCTCGAAGGTGTCAAGACATGTCAAGTGATGATTTGTTTTTCAATTACCTTTCGCAGCTTGTGTTCAACTTTTACCTCAGTAAAAGCCATCGGGGGGGGGGGGGGGGGGATGCGTCTGAAACAATGTGTTTGAGGTTCAACGACGGAACGAGAGATGCAATTTTTAAGAATAAAAGGTGTAAAAATGATGGTCTCGGTATGAAGACGACGACCAGGAAACAGCATTTGGTAACGCTCGCGTCTAAAAATAAAGTCTATTTTTGTACAGATGTCATTTTAAATGTTCACTTTTAGGCCAATAATGTGTAGATCGTTAACGATGTACAGTAGCCGAGAATGAATAACACATTCAAGATGACGGCTCTCGTGAGGTTAGAAACGTTTGTGTTTTAGGTGCACTGTGATTCATTAATAGAGAGGCTTTGGGCGGTCCGTTAAGCGACAAGCATTGTATTTTTTGCTGCGAGCTATTGACGCGTCACATGCAAACGTAGTACATGTGTTTTAATGTGCGTTGAATAAACTGCCAAAATAATCGTTCTCACGCGTTTCAGTTGCCGTCTTTTCAAGGTTGGCCCTGCGAAATGACTGAGGGTGGCGAGGTGTGAACCCACCACCTGGCATCCAGGTGGTGGCTTGTCCCCCTACCGCGACCGCTCTATATTTGGAGTTTGCGTGTTCTTCCTGTGGGTTGTGTGGATTTTTGGGTCTGATAGCCCATGCAAAATGAGCCAGTCCTTGTGCCACAGGTGGAAGGTGAGTAATGATCCCTCCACGGGTGGGGGCAACCAGCCAATGAGGGGTGGCAGTGTGACCGTAAGGGGCAACTCGGCTCAGGTGAGAGGCAGTGTCGTTTGGCCTTTTTAATAGGTGCTACTTTTACAGCACTTGTCCCAACAGTGTTCAAGGCTACACGGGGGATGTCTCTTTAGTTTTACCTACCTGGTTAAAAAGCCGTCCCATTTTTAACAACAGATGATGCATTTCGTTTCTCAAGTCCACTTGTCCTGGTCAGGGTCGTGGTGGCAGCATGTTGAGTTGGGCGGTCCACACCTCCCTTTCCCTGGCGACAGACTCTCGCTCTTCTTGGGGGAAATTCTCAAGACATTCCCATGCCAGCTGAGTGACAGTCCTGCCAGCGTGTCCAGGGCCGACCTCAGGGTCTTCGCCCCGTGGGACGTGCCTGATAGAGTTCCAGGGGGAGTCTACCAGTCGGCATCCTCACCAGGTGCCCGAACCACGACAACTGGCTCCTCTCGATTTGGAGGAGCAGCGGCTCGACTCTGAGGCTCTCCTGGATTACCGAGCGCCTCGCCCGATCACAGAGAGGTGAGCCCGGCAACTCTGCGGAGAAACCTAATTTTGGCCCCTTGTACCCGCCATCTCATCCTTTCTGTCGTTAACCAACACTCATGACCATAGGTGAGGGTGTGAATGTAGAGCCACCTGTAAACTGAGAGCTTTGCTCGAGAACTCGGCTCCCGCTTCACTACCACAGAATGGTAGTGCCCGCAACACTGGAGACGCCGCACCGATCCGCTGGCCGATCTCCCGCTCCTACTTACCATCACTCGCGAAAGAGACCCCGAGGTACTTAAACTCCTCCACTAAGGGCAGCTGTTCCCCCCTCACCTGGAGAGAACAATCCACCATCTCCCGGGAGTGAACCATGACTCAAATTTGGGGGCGCCGATCCTCATCCCAGGCGCTTCACAGTCGGCATCAAACCGTTCAAGTGCGCGCTGGATGTCACAGACTGACGAGGCCATGAGGACATCTGCCAAAATCAGAGATGTCACCTCCATGCCCCCAGACTGGATACTCTCCATACCTCGGATGCCCCTTGATATTGTCCATGAAAATCACAAACAGGAGTGGAGACAAGACGCACCTTGGCAGAGTCCAACACCCACGGTGAACGACTTTCATTTAACACCAAGAATACAGACACAGCTCTCACTCCGGGAACAGAGGGACTGGATAGCGCACTAAGCAGCACCGGTACATCATACTCCCACAGCACCTCCCACAAGACATTGTGGGGAACACGGTCATATGCTCCAAGTCTACAAGAGGTAGACTGGAGAAGCATACTCCCATGACCCTTTAAATATCTGAGTGAAAAGAGCTGGTCCATTGCCCCATGACGGAGTCCGCATCGTTCCTCCTGAATTTGAGTCTCGACCAATCGGGCGGAGCCTCCTGCCCAGCACTCTGGCACAAGCTTTACCTGGGATGCTGAGCGTGGTTCTTCTGTAGCTGGAACACACCCTCTGGTCCCCTTTTTAAAAAAATATGGGAACCACGACCCCAGTTTGCCAATCCAGATGTACGTACTCGCCTTCCATGCAAGTGACACTCCTACACTGTCCAGCGCTTTCAACAACTCTGGGCAAATCTCGTGCATCCCAGCAGCTTTGCCACTTACAGAGGCCCTCGACCGACGAAGCGACTTCAGCAACCGTGCAGAAACCATTTTTTTTTCAAAATACATCCTTTATTTAATTTTTTGTTTTTTATCAAGTGCCTCCCCAATTCAAAGAAATGTATTCATTTCAGCAAGTGGACAAACATCTATTTGGTTCCGGCATGGTACAGATTCAATCGCCAGGATTCCATGGCACAATTTGACTTCGGGGATTTGTTCTTATTCCTGCTGTTGCATTGTCCGTCTCGTTTGTTACGTGTCACTAAAATGTAACTCCTTCACGAATTACAAATGTGTAAAAATGTGCATTGCGTGTACGTAACTGCATTGTCAACACAAGCTTAAATGCTTGTATCGTGAACCAAATGACATGTTATACAATTTTGGGCAAATGTTATAGACTATGGTATTGAATTCGTTTTTTCACAAAATCGAAGCTTCTTGCTACTAAAATGAAGTATCCCTGGAGCCAGTGGTGGAAATTCCAACCTTCCTTTGGTGGCAGTTCCCAAAGAAGGGCCACTGTTAGTATCCCACAAGGATGATTTGTAGATTAACTCTTCTATTCAAACAGCAGCTGGTATTTGAAAGTTAAACACCTTCAGGTTGTAAGTGGAGTGCTCCAAGCCATTGTACCACCCCTAGCTGAATAAAAGTGGCATATCTAACACGATCTTTTCCCTATTGTGTTTGTAATAATCTAAAATAATTAATACTTTTGATACAAATGTTAATTTCTTCAATTCAGCCCGTTTAAGACTCCAGGATGGAATTAATGTCATTCCCATTGAGGCTGATGCATTGTGCAGGATGTGATACACGGACCCAATTGGTGATGCTCATCTCTGGTGACCCTGTACTACCGGTGGCGGTTCCACATTCCCATGAAGGGCACCGGTCTCTCCACAGAACTTGCTCGCAAGTGGATATTATTTGATCAACCACGGAGAGTGGTGGTGGTGGGGTGAAAGGACTGACCACGGACCTCGGATTTGTAACCTGGTGGTGAATATGGGAATCCACCAGACCACATCTGCTTATTCCAGCGATACTTGATAACAACTCAGGCATCCTGGATGTTTACTGTCAAGTTTATTTTTTATGCGCCTGTGAACCAACAGGGAGACTCCTCTCGCCTGCAGCTCCCTGAGAACTTCTGGATGTGGCCAATCCGTGACTCTTCCCATGTTTGGCTGTGATCTTCAAGCCGGCTTGTCCACGATTTTTGCAGGAAAATAGGAAGACAACCGTCGACATTACGCTACACCGAGCCAAGTGGTAAATTGACCCCCACTTATCTGTGGGGAATCCTGAATAATGTAAATGGAGGTTCTATACAGATTGAGACTTCTGTGTACGTGTGTTGAACTTCTTTCGAACTATACGTAGCCAGCCGTGCTAATCGGAGGTGTGGGGGAAAGATTATTTGCGGACACTGGTTTGATTGTGGCTACTCACAGCACTTGGATTCTCAGTCGGAAAAGGCCACGGGGGTTGAGATACCCAGTTGTGGAGGGAATCGTGCTAATTATTATCCTTGCAGGGTGGATAATGAAATGAGCAGTACCACTGTGTAATCTTGGCATTTGGCCAACCTGTTGATAAACCGACGCCCACCATAGGTGTGTGGAATTTCCATGGCTGGTTCCACGAACCGCCAACATAAATGCTCACCGCCCGATCGCTTGACCGAGCAACGAGACCCGTGGAATATTGCCGTGCGACTGGCAGGCTGAGCATGAGCGTGTGTGTGTGCGCGGCGTGCGTGTGCGCGTGTGTGTGTGTGTGTGCGTGTGCGTGTGTGCGGCGTGCGCGTGTGTGCGGCGTGCGCGTGTGTGTGCGTGTGTGTGTGTGCGCGCGTGTGCGGCAGTGACCCTCGCGGTTTAAACAGTGAGCCAGATGTGCAGCAGACCGGACTCCAGCTTGCGGGCAGTGACAACAGACTCCGGGTCAGCTGGGTTCGAGTACCTGAAACACAAAATGAGAAATTACTCTTCCCTCCTGGAAATGGCCCAAGATGGAAGCTCTGGGATGAAAACACACCAGGAGCAGAATCAGAATATTTTATTGACACTGGAGGAATCCGATGAGCAATGCAGTAGGGGTGAGTCAGAAAGTTACAACAAACAATACGAAAACAAGACAGGGTTGCAAAGTACAGGAAAGGGAAAAAAAATTAGGTAAAGCCCAGAGCTTTGAGATACTTTTTCAGAAGAGACCTGCCCACAAATGATAGCTCAACGAAGTGCCGTGTAAATTTATAGCAGCCAAGTAATCTAAATACTGCAAACGCACGTTGATTATAAATGTGGAGGTGAAAAACCGGAGGACCTGGAGGCAAAAAAAAATCCACGCAACCACGGGTAGAAAATGGAAACTCCAAATATACAGCAGGCGTCAAGGGTCGGGATCGAACCCATTACCTCTGCATACCAGGCGAAGAAGATCACATCACGCCACCATGGCGCCGCTCTTGAGCAGCGACATGTGTAGAGACTAACCCGACCATACAAATATGGAAATACCACGTTGGTTCGGACCAAGCAAAATCTGAGTACGGCCACAGCTCACTTTAACATGAAGGAGATTTATCCAGGGGAAACCTCACGGAGGCGTGGATCCATTTTCAGAAGGCTCCTGCATTGGGATGTTTTGGCCAATTCCATGTTTGAATATTTTTGTGTGTGGGAGGTTGACATGAATGCTGGAAAATAACACAATGCCAAATTCTGATCCACGTACCACAGTCTACTTTCTGTACTGCCACCTAAAAATGGCATCGCCTCCAAAGCCCAGCTCGTGGGCATCTTGCAAATTTCAATCCTCGGCATGATTCACAAATGAGGGGTCGCCGTCAACGACACCATCGCTGCCATGTAGAACTTTCATACGCACTTCTGCGGCCGTCTGGAACACTCCTCCTTCCGATATTAGGAAGCCACTGGAGCTGTGCACTTTTAAAATCACCTAGATTGAGAACTAATTTCTTTTAGAACCGCTTTTTTTTTAGTTTGTTGTTCATCGATGAGCACGGTTGGCTACGTACGCTGCAAACAGAAGTTCTGCATGTGCAACAACCACCATCGCCACCAAGCACAACACCACCCTCGCCGTCACCACCAGTACGATGCGCACTCACCTCAGGTCTAGGTGGTGGGCGCCTCCTATGACCTTCACAGCGACGTTGCCGCCCACGTCGTGCTGGAACTGCTCGGACACAAACCCCGGACAGGGCGAGGGTCAACGCTCGTCTCCCACGGTGGCCGTAAGTAAGCCAGCGGGGAAATTCCACATTCTGATGTCCAAGGCCAGTCTGGATATGACCACCGTTGACTTCTTAACCCTTTCCCGTTCAGATGATGTACGCGTACATCATCAAAATTAAACTGGAAGAAAAACTAAAAATAACTTTATCGGTACCGAGGCTCCCACAAGGTCATGCGGGAGGGCGTATGGCACAGTTTGGCACCAGCTACTGAAGAGTGCGGTGGTCGTGTCGCTACGGTTCTCTGCAGCGAGTGCAATATCTTTTAAAACAACGGCGCTACTACGCCTCTCTAAGTAAAATCAACGCCGAGCCGCTTGCGTGTTCCGAGATCTAGAGGTGACTGTGATGGGAAAAGATAAAAAAGCAAAGGTCACTGCATTGTGGAAGCATGACCATGGGCTGAACCACCCACCGAACAGGATTTGAACTCTCAACCTGCTGACTGAGAGCAAAGTGCCCTGAACTGCAGCCACATCTGGTGTCAGCCAGTCATAAATGCGGACTGGGTACAACTCACAACCACGGTCACGTGCTCGGTACCGGTCTGGGATTGACTCCTCGCTTCCAGGATGGACAAAATCCGGAACCAGTCTGCAGGAATTCAACGGTGGTTGCCCTTATGTGAGACAAGGGCCTCCGCCATAAGATGAGGACTTGCAATATTTGACGAGCACTGACCAATGTTCATTTTAGCAGCAAAGCAGCATTACAATCACGAACACTTGAGGTGTAAATATGATCAGCCTCATACTAATCAAGACCCCTCGTGTCCATGGAGATTTGCTGGAAAAATCGAGACGCCTGTGTGTTAGTTGAGAGTTCGGGCGAGGCACCAATCTGTGCTGCGTAACGAGTTGTGGTTGCTCAAGAACCACGCCCATTCAGTGTCATCTGTTGGTGGCCTCGGTGCAAACGTCAACCAAAACTCTTTTTTTGGCATCCCTCAAGTGTGGCAAACAAAACGTTTACACAATAGCTTTAAAATAATTGATAAAAAAATTGTATGACTTTCATTTTACACAGCGTCATTCACGCTGGTACCACAAACACGCCATGCTTGAGACCCTGGTTTAGGCACGGAGAGCTGACACCTAGACTCAAACACAGGACATCGGCGGTTCCGGGCAAGGCATGAGCTCACTCAGCCACCGGATCATCACCGAAATCTCTCTCCAACATGGCTAATTTACGAGTTCCTTCGGCCGACCCATACTTGGCCCATCTGCTCAAGAGAACGTGGGTGTGCGCGGTTTATTTTATTGAACCTGACACCCAGTTGTCAAGGGAACCGATTCGTTCATTCAACTCACCCCTCCGTTTCCCCACGGATCCAAGTTTCCGTTGGAGAAGATGATCTGGCTTGAGGAGTTCACGTCTAGGAGATGGACATGATACCAGTTAAGAAACTCATTCCATTTGCATCGATGATGCAACTCTTTCCACCAATGCGTTTTTTGTTCGAGGTATTCAATTGGCAGTAAAGGAGGTCTACAGATACTGGTTGTGGGAAAATGCGTTTTTCAGATTCACAAATAATCATTTTTTTATGGTTTGTTTCCGCATCTGGAACCCTTTAAGTAAATTGGGCCAGTTTTATTAAAGATAAGTCCCAAATAACAACGCAAATTTATCCTCAAATTTTACAGGTTTTATGGGTTATAATGCGTAAATGTATAAGTGTGTATTTAAACCCGCCACCACCCGACACAACCAACTAGTAAGGTTTGTCTTGTAAACAGAACATGCCAATTCGTCACTAGTACAGCACACCGGTGTGTTGGAGAGCAAAGCCACAACATTTACAATCTGAGTACGACGTTTCGCCAGTAATTACAACCAGCTTCATCAGGCGACAGACAGATTTGTGTACGTCATACTCAGATTGTAAATGTTTTGGATTTTCTCTCCAACACACCGGTGTGCTGTACTAGTAACGAATTGGCATGTTCTGTTTACGTGACAAACCTTACTAGTTGGCTGTGTCGGGTGTTGGCGGGTTTAATGACACATTTACAGTGAGGGAAAAAAGTATTTGATCCCCTGCTGATTTTGTACGTTTGCCCACTGACAAAGAAATGATCAGTCTATAATTTTAATGGTAGGTTTATTTGAACAGTGAGAGACAGAATAACAACAACAAAAATCCAGAAAAATGCATGTCAAAAATGTTATAAATTGATTGGCATTTTAATGAGGGAAATAAGTATTTGACCCCTCTGCAAAACATGACTTAGTACCTGGTGGCAAAACCCTTGTTGGCAATCACAGAGGTCAGACGTTTCTTGTAGTTGGCCACCAGGTTTGCACACATCTCAGGAGGGATTTTGTCCCACTCCTCTTTGCAGATCTTCTCCAAGTCATTAAGGTTTCGAGGCTGACGTTTGGCAACTCAAATCTTCAGCTCCCTGATTTTCTATGGGATTAAGGTCTGGAGACTGGCTAGGCCACTCCAGGACCTTAATGTGCTTCTTCTTGAGCCACTCCTTTGTTGCCTTGGCCATGTGTTTTGGGTCATTGTCATGCTGGAATACCCATCCACGACCCATTTTCAATGCCCTGGCTGAGGGAAGGAGGGAGGTTCTCACCCAAGATTTGACGGTACATGGCCCCATCCATCGTCCCTTTGATGCGGTGAAGTTGTCCTGTCCCCTTAGCAGAAAAACACCCCCAAAGCATGTTTCCACCTCCATGTTTGACGGTGGGAATGGTGTTCTTGGGGTCATAGGCAGCATTCCTCCTCCTCCAAACACGGCGAGTTGAGTTGATGCCAAAGAGCTCCATTTTGGTCTCATCTGACCACAACACTTTCACCCAGTTGTCCTACGAATCATTCAGATGTTCATTGGCAAACTTCAGACGGGCATATATATGTGCTTCATTGAGCAGGGGGACCTTGCGGGCGCTGCAGGATTTCAGTCTTTCACGGCGTAGTGTGTTACCAACTGTTTTCTTGGTGACGATGGTCCCAGCTGCCTTGAGATCATTGACAAGATCCTCCCGTGTAGTTCTGGGCTGATTCCTCACCGTTCTCATGATCATTGCAACTCCACGAGGTGAGATCTTGCATGGAGCCCCAGGCCGAGGGAGATTGACAGTTCTTTTGTGTTTCTTCCATTTGCGAAAAATCACACCAACTTCCCGGTTCTTTCGGTAAAGTCACGTAGAAGGGAAGTAATAAAATAATAAAAATAAAACATAATAAAACAATTCTCACGACGTTTCGGCCACAACGCAAGCAGCCGTCCTCAGGTGAAAACCAGGTCCGTCGAGGCGTTGTGGCCGAAACGTCGTGAGAATTGTTTTATTATGTTTTATTTTTATTATTTTATTACTTCCCTTCTACGTGACTTTACCGAAAGAACCGGGAAGATGAATCCCTGCAGTCACGAAAGCTTTAAATCAAAATCACACCAACTGTTGTCACCTTCTCACCAAGCTGCTTGGCGATGGTCTTGTAGCCCATTCCAGCCTTGTGCAGGTCTACAATCTTGTCCCTGACATCCTTGGAAAGCTCTTTGGTCTTGGCCATGGTGGAGAGTTTGGAATCTGATTGATTGATTGCTTCTGTGAACACACTCTTAAAGGGAGTGCTCCTAATCTCAGCTTGTTACCTGTATAAAAGACACCTGGGAGCCAGAAATCTTTCTGATTGAGAGGGGGTCAAATACTTATTTCCCTCATTAAAATGCCAATCAATTTATAACATTTTTGACATGCATTTTTCTGGATTTTTGTTGTTGTTATTCTGTCTCTCACTGTTCAAATAAACCTACCATTAAAATTATAGACTGATCATTTCTTTGTCAGTGGGCAAACGTACAAAATCAGCAGGGGATCAAATACTTTTTCCCCTCACTGTATATATTTACGCGATCTAACCTAAAAAAAACCTTGTATTATGGATATTGGTCGCACAAGCCCACGTGTTAAACTCCTCAAGTTTTGTTGGCAATGGATCATCAGCGTCAGCCATGTTATCCATTGCTGTAAGTGAAAAACGCATCGGGGTTGGTCATCAAAAAAACATGGCAAAGCAGTATCGTGCACCTCTACGCTTCTATGCCATTGGTGGCAATATTTTAGTTAATGTACAAAACTCCTAAAAAGCAATTGTTTTTAAACTCATGTCCCGACGTAAGTAATCTAAATCGGCCAAAATACTACGGAAATTACAGGTGGCTGTAAGCATGGGAGAGCCGAATGTATTTAACTCAAATAGGGCCTTGTGGGTAACGCCATGCCCAGGTAGACTGTCAGCGAGAACCCAAGGATTTACTTTTGTTTTTCTGTAAATAAAACTAAATTACAGGATACGCAATGCTAAACGAGTGGGTATGATTTTACTTCCTTTATTTAAAACTATCAATCCAAAGTAATGTAGAGGGGGAAATCAAATCCTGGCTGCTGCTTCCAGGGTGGCACCAGCAGCCAGCGGATCCAAGCTGAGTTCCTTTGACCTCCACATTCTGAGCCTCCCGAGGTCACACCAGCCGTTTAAAATGTTTGAGCAGTTAATTGGAAACAAGGCTGAGGTCATCAACTCGGCAATTGAGAATCCGGGTTTTAATAGAAAAGCAGCTCAAATCTGTATCTAAACCAAGGATCAGAATCTTTATTTAGACTGGAGGAGTCCAATGAGCTAGGAAGCTCTTTATCACACATGTTCAGTGTGGGCAGGTCAGATATCTCAGCTAGGCCAAAGTAGTGCCCCGAAATGAAGATTAGTCCCTGTGACACCTTGCACCGGCACTGCTACTCTACGCGAACCTGCCACCCTGCGCCACCTTGCGTCACCACTCCCTCCCCTCAGCTAGCCTGATCTATCCGGCCAGCCTGTGCCACCCCCGGGGGTCCAAGCTGTGTGGGTGTTGCTCACCCTTGCCCCAGTACTGCGTGGCGAGCCAGGTCTCGCGTGGCACCACGCCCCAGCGCTTGGCGCAGTATTCGCGCCGCGCGGCTGCCGTGTAGGGTAGGGCAGGGAACATGTCGCTCACGTTGTTGGTGGAGCACAGCAGGTTGATCTCCGTGCACGCCTGCACACGCTCTCGCGGGCGCAGGCGCGGGTGCAGCGTTAGTGGAAGGGACGGCCCGCGGAGGCAACGAACAGCAGTAACGGTGCAGGCAGCGGTAGTGGTGGCGGAAAAAGTGGTGACAAGCAGCAGTCGGCATGGCACAAGTGGCATTTGTCGTCGAGTATAGTTCGTGTAACCAGGCGAGTACTCGGGACACGCGGAGTCTCATTTCCCAAAAGAGTGAGACGGGTCTCCGAATTGACAAGCAAAAAGAAAAAAAATACAGCAATGGAGCACACCGATATTGGAGCAAAACAACTGTGAAATTCTCCGGTTTCCTGTGGAGTCGTGACCACCATGTCAAGGACTCTGCTACCGTGCGATCAGGAGGGAGGAGGAGTGACATCGGTGTGCAGGTAATCACAATGGTGATCATGACCGTAATAATGATGGTTATTGCAGGGATAGCAGTGAAAGTGATGGTGATTCAGGGTGGTGATGTAATGGTGACTGTGCTGGTGGTGATGGGACATCACCTGGTAGTCCCAGGCCAGGCTGTCGGGGCCTAATCCACACCCAGTGGGGTCTGCGCACTCGATGAACTCGGCTGCTGGATCAAGACACTTTGCCGTTCCACTGGTGTTGTAGAAAAGAGCTGGACACGGAAAACATTCGCCGTTTGCTATTAATTGCCGGAGGTTAACTTCACCAAGGAGCTTGTGTGTGCACACATGTACACAGACACACGCACACCCATACAATAGACAGACACACAGACAAAGACCCCCCCCACCCCCCATTGCAAATACATGTTGTTGGGGTAAATGCAGTTAAGTGAGCACCTAATGAAGGCTGGCACATGAGGAGGTGGTGTGATCAGCACCACAGCTGCTTTGCCTTCGTCACCCCAGTGTTGAGGTTCTGACATTTACACCACGCACCAGATACCCATTTAAAGGATGAGTCTACCTCAAAGTCCAACTCGGGTTGATCCAGGAGCAGAATTCGAATATTTATTTTTACTCGAGGAATCCGATTAGCTAATGAAAAGCTCTTTTTCACAGATGTCCAGTCGGGGCAGGTTGGAAAGCCACAACAATATAAAACCATGAGAGGAGTGCAAAGTATAGGAAAGATGAACAAATCACTCTAAAAATATATACAAAATAACTCTTTTTATCTTACTGTAACGGCGCAAGTAGTGCAGGAGACGTTTGACGGAGGCAACACGTAGTTAATTATAACACACAACAGTAACAGTCAGCTATACAGCCTAAGAACACAGCCTACGGCTAGCGTGCCTGACACCGGCTACGCTCTCAGGTCCTCCGGCTATGTATTTCCTAGGGGAGGTTATCTGACCCGACCTAGCCAGGGTACGGGTCCCAACTACTGGCCCGCTCAGGACCCGGCCCTGATAAGGACGTCGGGCCGGGGGTTCCCAGGGTCTCACCACTGAGCCACACAGAGTCCCGGCCCTGATAAGGGCGGCGGGGCTAGGGGTCCCAGGGTCCTACCTAGCTTGCTCCGTCTTCCGTCTTCACTGGCTCTTCTGCTCCAACGACTGCCTCGAGCTCTCTTGCGCACCGCCCTATATACCCAACTGCCCCCCGAGGGGCAGGGCTGTATGCGGACGTTGATGTAGACACCCCACGCACGGATCGTGATGTAGACACCGCAACGTAATGGCTTGCTACACCCCGGGACGTAACACCTCTACATTACAAAGTGAGATAAAAAGATCCACTACCAGGAATTGAACCCAACCACCAGCATCACAGTACTTCATATTGGCCATGTTATCAACAGTTCCTGTACCTCCGATTAGCAGGGTTGGCTACGTACGGTGCGGAAGAAGTTCAACATACATACGAAGACAAAGGTCCACCCGTATAGCCCATTAGGGCACGTGTTGTTTAACAAGTAGCACCTCTGAAGGCCGGAGCGTACTCACACATACATCGTCGCCCTTGCGGGTGCGCTTCAGCAGCCATCTTGAATACTCTTCCTTTCGAGATTAGGAAGCCCCTGGAGCTATGCACTTTTAAATCATCGAGATTCAAAACTAATTTCTTTAAAACTGGTTTGTGTTTAGTTTATTTTTTGCCCGCACCTCCATTTAGCACGGTTGGCTATGTACAGTGCGAAAGAAGTTCAACGTACATACATTGAGCAGGAAGACACTGGAGGGTTGAGTTCGAACTTACCGACAGCTTGCGTCAGACCGTCCAGAGGATCTTTGCTGTTGAGCAGCAGGTCACAGGCCACCTACGGAGAAGCACACGAACGGAACGCGCAACACTAAAACCACTTGGCTCTCGGTTTGTAGAACCACAGACTCCATGCGTGATGGGCTGTTGGAAACGGGTTAGCAGCTTCTTACACTGAAATTAAAAATATTTAAAGTCCTCAATGTTCATGCAAACCGCCAGCGCCCTCTAGTGGCACCACTGCGGTGGCTGCTGTAACATCGGATAACCACACTGCCATGCGGTGCATGCTGGGAGCGACCCTCTGCAGCTGCACCACGATGAGTGGTGCATGCTGGGAGCCACTGTGCATGGTGGGAGCCACACTGCAGCTGCACCATTATGAGTGGTGCATGCTGGGAGCCACCACTGCAGCTGCAAAAAAATGAGCGGTGTATGCTGGGAGCCACAACTGCAGCTGCACCATTATGACTGGTGCATGCTGGGAGCCACCACTGCAGCTGCACAACTAATGGCAGTGCTCAGTCTTCCCTACATAGGATTCCCACCACAGTTCAAGTCCCAACCGTAACGGTTGCCCATTTTATCTGCTGGCTTATTACGCAGCACTCTAGGAGCGCAACGCACCAAACTTGCTGGCGCATGCAGACACTGGAATCCTGTCGCAGTGCTCGCATTCTGTGTATGCTAAGATTTTTATTTTACCAGGTAAGGCCCACTGAGCTATGTAGCTCTTTTTCAGAAGCAACCTGGCCACAAATGATAGCTCAACGAAGTGGCTTATCATGATGTGGAAATTTATAGCAGGCAAATACTCTGAATACATGATATGAATTATAAATGTAGAGAGAAAAACCGTACCCAGAGAAAAATCCAAATGACCACGGGAAGAGTGACATGCAAACTGGTGTCAGAGTCAGGATTGAACCCACGATCTCCTGTATACCAGGCAAGGTAGTTAACATCTCGCCACCGTGGCACCCCACCTAATACTGTGCGTAAGTGTTATTGGCAGTGCTCCGTGCTTAATCGCGTGCGGGAGGCATTACACCCACGTTGACCGGGTTAGCGGGCAGCGAGCCCATGAAGGAGGCTGCGTAGGGGTAGTCCAGCATGGCCAGGTAGGTGAAGGTGTTCCGCGCCCAGCCGTACATGTGCCGCACGTCCGCAGCAGAGCCGGGAGCCTGGCACAGGCGCATCCGCTGCGCTATCTGAGCCCACTCTGAACACAAAACGCACACAGACAAAGATCCCCAGTGTAGACTTCAACAGACCGCTGGCTCAAGTGTTATTCGAGATTACAAGTGCCGAATGAAGTGCGGCACTGCCCACGAGGAGGTGGGCGACCAACGCCATGCATGGCCATCTTTCTCTGCGCGTGCACACGCACAGCTCTCGTCGATCCACAGCTGGACGAGCAATTCCCCGTGCTGTGCGGGGCATGGGGGTTATTTGACCATACTTCATCACACCGGTCAGCGGTCAGTGTGGGCTGAAGGGGGGACGCATACCCCACGACAGGGTTCAGATATCACCTCGCCATTTAACTTTCAAAATCAAGTTGAATCAAACCAGTTTTTTTTGTACTCACATTCAGAAGAAATCTCAAGCTTTTGGCCAACAAGCTTTGCTCAGGGTTTACCGTGGGAGAGCGACGTAGATTGAAGAGGAACGGCAAGGTTGATCTCATTTTGTTTTGACGCCACCAGTCAGATTTAAAAAATACGATAAGAATCCCCCAAGTACAGCAAGTCAATAGAGGTAGTTAACATCTTGCCATGGTAGCGAGATGTTAACTAGCTCGCCTGGTATGCAGGAGGTCGTCAGTTCGATCCCAACCCTGACGACTGTAGTATATTTTGAGTTAGCATGTTCCTTCTCCCCGTTGTCGTGTGGATTTTGCTCTGGGTGCTCCGGTTTTTCCCTCCACATCTAGAAAATTGCGGTTTAGAGTATTTGGAGCTATAATTTGTGGCCAGATAGCTTCTGAAAAAGAGCTATACAGCTCAGTGGGCCTTAACTGGTAAACAAAACAAATTGTAGTTTACAAAAATCCAGAGGCAATTCATGAGCAGGAAGCAATGTCTTTGGCACCTATTAGACTTACCTTGCTTGTCGGCAAGTTTCTTGAGTTCAATGAAACCAGCCCTCACTATGTCCGGGCATTTAGGATTGTACTTCTCAAAGTCCTACAAGAAAAATAAAAAAAGATAAAAATTTTATCGCGCGAAGCCAACCAGTGACATCACTGCAGTGTGAAAAGCCATTAAATTAAATAATAGAACACGACGTTTCGATTGCAACACAAGCAACCATCATCATGTACAAATGAATGAGAAAACAAACATAGTAAACTGGGAAATATAATGCAATACAACACAGAGAGCCGGCCAACACAACAGTCAACACCCTACCTGGTTGATTACGTTCTTCCAAAGATTGCTAAGTTTGAGAGAGAGACAAAACATAGACACGGAGACACACAGACAGCCACACAAGCAAAGAGAGACTCACACAGAGACAAACAGAGAGAGACACCCACATAGGCAGTGTGCCTTTTACCGAAAAAACCAAAGAGTAATTCCTGAAGTCACGAACGCTTCAAATCTAGTGCGAAAGCCATACCACTAAAACACCGCTCTCTCATTACACGTGGTGCATGCTGGGAGCTAACAATGGGCACTGCGGTGGCGAGATGTTATCTCCTTCGCCTTGTAAGCAGGAGCTCGTAGGTTCAATCCCCACCCAGACGCCAGCATATTTGGAGTTTGCACGTTCTCCCCGTGGTCATGTAGATTTTTCTGTTATCGTTCCTGCGGCTGGTTGGCCTGGGGGGCTCACAGCTGGGGTGCCATACGGGCACCATCACAGCTGGGCGCCATACGGGTACCATCACAGTGAGGGAGCCATAAGATGATGCACTACCCACGGAATGAGAATCGCGTCCGAACTTGTCCAGGGCCTCCCCTCATGGCCAAGCCTTAACCGTGTACTTGGCACTGCGTATGTAACCTCGGGACACTCGAAGCCTGCGAGGGACTGTATGCGTATGTACGCATCTCATAGCCGTAGGGTAGAGAGCTGTAGCGTAGCTGCGCTAAGAACGCGGCGTCCCGAGTTTGATTCCCACTAATGGCCGACACCGGTGACGAATATCTGAACCGGTCCTGGGCCTCCCCGAGGTCGACTCAGCCTCAAATGAGTATGTTGCATGGTGTATAAACATCCCCACTGGGGCGACAAGGGAGGCCGGCCGTGGTTTTGGCCACACCACCCCTTCGTGCGGCGTGCCGGCCTTCATTAGGTGCTACTCGCTAACAGCACTTGCCCCCACAGTCTGTTAAGGCTACACAGGGGATCTTGGTATGCGTATCTCACAGCCGTGACATCCCGGAAGAATTGCAGGGGGTCTCCCTGTCCAGACACGAAGGGGATGGGGGCACTGGCAGCCAGGGCAGCATCCACCAGATGGGGGTAGTGCATGCGGAAGTAGGCGCTCAGCATTCCTCCATAGCTGAAGATGAGCAGAAAAAAGACACACACAGAGACACACACACACAGTCACAGAGACTGCACGGTGAGGTGGGAGGGGCGACACAGGGCACGCTGGGATAGGCAGACAGATATGGAATTTACAATCGGAGGTGGCCTATGAGCAAATTCTAAAATGGACATGCTGTTTGGCGACACTTCTTTGGCAGCGGTGGAGGAGCATAAAGAATAAAACTGATACTGGTCAAATGACAGTGGCCTCAAATGGAAGAGTATGTATAATAGGCGACATTAACCCTTCTTCATAGCATATAAAGAAGGGCCATTTTATTAATACGTTTGATTGATAGAAGGGTTTGTTTGTTATTCAATAGCTATTAATAGGCATCTATTCATATGCCAACTTGACCGGTTATTATAATTTCTTTAATGAAATTCTTATCAGGCCCAGTGTGTAAAGTGCAGTTTCCGATTGGCGTCAAACACCTCACGCAGTCCCACTCCACCACACATCACTCCTCCCCATCTTTTCCACACCTTGTACTGTGTTTCAATAGTCATAAAAATACCTTACCTCTCTCCTATGGAGTAAAAAAATCAAACTCGATCTCGACGTACGATGGCTCGATTTTGTACAGTCACTGATCGAGACCTCACTTGAGAGCCCAGTTTAATCACGGGCGGCCGAAACTCTTGATTTCAGACCCACCGTTGCTGGCTCAAGCCTCTCATGTAGCCATCACGAGCCCCCTTCGAGAAAACCGGCCCCACGAGGGAATGAACTTTGGAACTCAGGAGGAAGCGTGTGTTGACTTGGGTGTCCCTGCCACTGCCAATACGAACTCCTCGAGCAACCCCAATTCACCCTGACAATGCCCGGCGGCGGACTCTGGCTCCAGGCAAACGAGGGGGAACCGACGGCCGTCGATTTGGTCACACGCGGCCGCCCATCCCTGCTCTCACCTTCCTCCGAACGACACCACCTTGGACTTCTGGGCCCCAAAGTTCTGCTTGATGCTGTCAAGCAGCACGGCGAAGTCCGCCAGCGCCTGCTCGATGGTCAGCAGGCCAATGGTGTCCAGTCGGAAGGAATCCTTCCCGAAAGGGAGGCTCTCGCCATAGTACCGCTGCCGTCAGAGGCAAAGAGTGCGGCGAGATGAGATTAGCACGGTTGGCTATGTACGATGGCGATAAAACCATTCGTACATTGTGCATCATACTTCAAAATATTTGGCTGCTATACATTTCCACATGATAAGCCACTGCAGTGTGACTGCCATACCACAAAAACATCGATCTCTCAGGACACTTGGTGCACGCTGGGAACCAGCAATGGGCACCGCGGTGGTGAGATGTCATCTCCTTCGCCTGGTATGCAGGAGATCGTGGGTTCAATCCCAAGCCTGACACCTGCTGTATATTTGGAGTTATCATGTTTTCCCCACAAAGATTTTCTCCTCCAGATTTTCCCTCCAAATTTAGAATCACCATATGATTAGTTTATTTTGCTGCGTTAAATTTCCCAATGATGAGCCTCTTGGATGAGCCATCATTGGTGGACTGGTCGCTTCTGAAAAAGAGCCATGTAGCTCAGTGGGTCTTACCTGGTAAAATAAATAAATAAAACGGTTTAGCTTATAGTTTTCCCGGCTGTCTGACAAGAGTTCCGAGCTTCGTCAGTGAGAAACGAATTCTAGATTTGAAGCTTTTGTGACTGCAAGGATTCATACTCTTAGGTGTTTTCGGTAAAGTCACGTAGGTAAAATAATAATAATAAAATTAAATAATAATAAATGAAAATAACAAATTTGAATCACGACGTTTCGGAGGCAACACAAGTCTCCGTCTTCAGGTGGGACCGTCACAGCTAACTTTATTTCACTTGATACAGTAAATTTAGCTGTGACGGTCCCACCTGAAGACGGAGACTTGTGTTGCCTCCTGAAACGTCGTGATTTAATTGAGTTATTTTCATTTATTATTATATTTAAAAAATTACCTACGTGACTTTACCGAAAAACCCTAAGAGTAGTGAGAAACTAAAACAACACTTTAATGTTATTCTTTGGTTTTTTCGGTAAAGTCACGTATAAAAATAATAAATTAAATAATAGCATACGACGTTTCGATTGCAACACAAGCAATCATCATCAGGTATAATGAAATAGCGACATAGAATATAACCAGAAAACTATAGACAGACATATAAGCAGACAGATATCACCAAGATACATAGAGAGAGCAACCCAGGTACAGAGAGAGGTGATCGTCTCTGTGGGGTGGCCTTAAATAGACAGAGGGGGGCGGAGGCAGAGAGAGGGAGGGGGTAGGGAAAACATTTACATGTCAATGAGTACGAAGGGAGGGGAGTAAGGTAAGCCGGCTTAGAGGGAGACAGAACACACTAAATTAAATAACCTAGCAAAGTATCGAAATGTTATGTAAAACGACACAGAGAGTCGGTCAACACACAATTAACGCATTGCCTGGTCGCTCTCTCTATGTATCTTGGTGATATCTGTCTGCTTATATGTCTGTCTATAGTTTTCTGGTTATATTCTATGTCGCTGGTTATATTCTATGTCGCTATTTCATTATACCTGATGATGATTGCTTGTGTTGCAATCGAAACGTCGTATGCTATTATTTAATTTATTATTTTTATACGTGACTTTACCGAAAAAACCAAAGAATAATTCCTGCAGTCACGAAAGCTCCAAAATTAAGATTTAATGTTATTGTGAGGCTCTAGTCACATCACTGACATTGCACTGCTCCCGTGCAGCTCTGTGGGTGATGTTGGAGCATCGGAGACAGTCGCCCAACCCAGGAAAGCCACAATGAGTCTCTAGACTCTCCTCAGGAGGGTCATCGCCTAACTTCCCTGCAGTGGGGGTGCGGCTGCTATGCGGAAACCCAATTGAGAAATTTGCAGGCAATGTCTTAGCATTGTGATGTTTGGCCAACATCAGTTACATTGCATTTCTTTTTATAATTATTGCATCCTCCTATACACATCTGTTTCCTATCAGTCTTATTTCTTTGTTTGCAATACCACTCTCATCTCCTCGCTCGGTTTTTATTTTCTGAATAAAATACAACTCGCGCATCAACCCAAGAGGATGATGATGAATGAAGCAGAGGTTTGTAACTCTCAGCCTCCCATCTCGGGAGTCGACTACTCTGACCAACGCAGGACTCGATGCAATAAAGACATCACGAGAGACACGAGCGATGCCCCCCCCCTGCTCATTCGCGGAGAGACTCAATTGGCCTCTCTCCTGTCCCCTTCGCTACCATCACTGCTACCCCCCACGTCATCGACGGCGGAGGATCGCCGACGAATCTAAAGACACCCGATCTGCAAGTCGAGTGACCTGGCTCGAACGCCACTCGCGGGCCGTGAGCGCCACCCGCGAGCCGCGAGCGACAGCAGCTAGAAACTTCACGGACACCACAGGGACAGCACGGGCATAGACGGCGCCGGCGAGACGTACATGCTCCGCGAACACGATGAGGGCTTTAAACTCCGGCGCCAGCTCGATCATGAAGCCGGTGTTATTGGCGAACGCCCAAATGTCTCCCTCATTGCCCGTGTAGAAGAAAATCGGTCCGACGCCCTTCTCCCAGTACTGGTCTGAAAGTCAAAACACACACACAAAAACCAAAAACGCACGCACAAAGATCAAAGATCTCGCATTGCACCTCAAAAGACGAGAGGGGCATTTTCAATCGATGAATCTATGTCGTAGTGCGCACGCTGCTGAGATTTGGTTTCTTTTTCAAGCGGGATTTGTGTCTCGAAGGCAACAATATAGTGCAGTACAAAATATTTGAAATAATGTACAACCTGGATTTAGATTGCATCAATATGAAAACCGCATCTCAAAAGGCTGTACAGGACATGGCGGGCATATTGGGTTTAAAGAGAGAAAGAGACGCCCAATGGAAAAGCAGAACACGTCACGAGGCTGGGTTTGGACACAGGGCCAGCGACAGTCGACAGCAGTTTGCTGGCGTGAGGGAGTTCCAGGGAACACATTTTTTTTCATAACGCAAATGCGAATTGGATATAACGCGATCGACTTACTGGACCTTAATTAACAAACCGAGTCATAAATTTATACGTAGACTTTCACAATCAATGCTGTGATGCACAAGTTGTTTCTTTTGGGTTAGATGATCTGTGAAGGTATAATGCCAATTTTTTTTATAAAACCCTCCAACGCAGGGGCGGTTTCTTCATTAGGGCGATTGGGCGACGCACCACCAATGTCATTCAACCACAGTCACGCTAGCCGTCACTGCAGCCTCTGGATATAGTCCAATCAGCGTCATGTCACGTTCTGTGGAGTACCGCCTCTTTTGGGGCGATTTCACTCCGGCTGAGAATCGCCCCGAGTGGCCCCATAGACTTACATTGAAAGATGTTTTTTTTCGAACGGGGGCGCTGCAATGCATTCTCTATGGCTCCGGGAGGGCAAGCCCCAACGTGCTTACGTCATCATACGTGCTTACGTCATCATACGTAAGCACGTTTCATTCAACAATATAATTTATCGCTACCGAGTGGAATCTTTAATAAAATAAACTTGAGTGGTTTGTTTTAATAGTGAGTATATAAACAAACAAGATGTATTGTAAGAGTCACTTTATTTTTCATTAATATTAAAGAAGTGAAGTTGCCTTTACATGCTTAAGCTGTTAATTTATTCATTGCATGGGTGGACCTTAATCATCCAGACATTTGCCCCCCCTGAGAGATTTTGCAGGAGCCGCCACTGCTCCAACGTTTGACAACCAATCAAATCAAGTTGTCACGCAGTGGGCAAATGTGCTGATTGATTTGGTTTAGCAGTAAAACTGGAGGAATGTTGAAGAGCGAGAAAAATGTTGACAAACTGCTTACACAACTTTGTTTGACTGGAACTGTCGAGTGGTGGAGGGTTAGAAATGGACTTGTTGGTAATTGACTTGCAAACGAGTTAAAGGCAACATTTACATGCATGTGTACGTCTCCGTATTGATGGCAGAGATCACAACGGTAGAAGGAGTGGCGGTTCTAATTTATAATAAAGTAAAAATGGGAGTGTGGGTTGGGCAGAGGGGAGGAGGGGACAATTCCAAGGACCCACATATTGAGATAAAAACCGGCCCGTACTAGACCTGTCCCAAAGTGGTCCAGCACAGCTTTGTATGTGTGTATGTTAAACTTCTTCCGTACGGAACATAGCCAACCGTGCTAATCGGAGGTGCGAAGGGAAGGACAACAAACTAAAGCTTTGGTATAATATCTAATGCCTGTGGAAACGCAGCATCGAGTTTTACTAATGAAAGTGGCCTTCAGCTGCTCTGATGCTAATGGTTAATTTGTTACAAAATTCAATCAAGTGACTTATTTTTGTTGACCGCCTAGCCTTTGTAGTCACGTGCATCCAGGGTGGTGGGGGGGGTCAGTGGGGGTGGGATCTGGGTGGGTCAACAACCAGCAGCCTCACCTCCAAATTGCTAGAGAAGTAAACAACCAACGCCCACCTTTAAAAAGAAAAATTTCAAGGAAGATCACCGCCTTCGTCGCCGGTCATAAATATTAATGCTGCGCTCGTCAGCTTCGCTACACACGTGCCCCCGGTGTTTTTTTAACCAATCGGGTGTCAAAGACACATGTCCTCCGATCCTTGACACATTCGGAATTGCCCATGCACAGCGATTGCTGGTTGGTGGCACGACCCTATAATTATCGATGCCAAGCTTTGCTAACTCGTTGCCATGTCTGGTTAGCACAATATTACATTCATAGGAGATCATTACAAATTTGTGCTGTGATGCTGAAGAGTTTGGCCCATCTCACCTTCTGATGGTATGATCCTACCCTTTGGAGTGGCTGTGTGGATACACCATAAATAAGAGGTGGAGGGGGGGTTGGGATAAAATCTTTCCCTGAAACTTATTGGTGGCTTTTGGTGCACAAACATCTGAGCTGGAACTTTACTGCGGTAGCACCCGATGGTTTTTAAAACAAGGAACGTCGCCTTTCGTCTCCACCAGTTCAATCATCCATGCATCTGTGTGTATCTGTGAGGAGCGGTAGTTTAGTGGTTAGCTCGCTCCCCTCCGAACCTGGCGACTCGAGTTCGATTCCCGAACAATTATTTGAACCCGTCCTGGGCCTTTCCTAGATCATATCAGCCTGAAATGAGTACCTCTAACAATGTGTAAACATTTTCACTGGGGAGACAGACAGCTGGGCATCCTACCACCCACCGCCTCATGACTGTGCCAGCCTTCATAGGTGCTCGCTAACAACACTTTCCACAACAGTCTGTTAAGGTTGTATGGGGAATCTTTGTGTATGTGTGTGTAGAGCAGTGGCGCAGCTAGTTAACACATTGCACTATTTAAGAATCGAACATTTACAGCCCGTGCTGTTATTGGTTCATGTGAAGCCAGTATCTCCTATAGATTCTACCATGCACAAACTAGGAACATTTTGAATTGATGAGAGCCGAATTATGAACCGTTCACAATTAATTGAAAATCGCGTGGATGTTGGTGAAGTCACAATATTGGGCTGTGTCATGGCAGCAAGCCTATGGCAGCACTGGCCGCCTGGTGAAGTACGGTCAAGTAAACCCGCACAACGTGGGGGGAGGCCCTCGTCCAGCAGTGGATTGATCAAAAGGGGTACACGGCAGTGCTCGGAACCAATATTCTCGTTTCTACGGAAGCAGCAGCAGGAGCAGCAGCAGGAGGAACAGCAGGAACAGCAGCAGGAGGAACAGCAGGAGCAGCAGCAGGAGCAGCAGCAGCAGGAGTAGCAGCAGCAGGAGCAACAGCAGGAGGAACAGCAGGAGCAGCAGCAACAGCATGGGGTAGCAGCAGGAGTAGCAGCAGCGGGAGCAGCAACTCACCTGACACGAGGTAGCGTTGCTTGTAGGTCTTGTCCCCTTGGGAGTTGAAGTTGAAGTGGTCGAGAATCTGGTCAAAGTAGCGCACCTGCAGCTGAACAGAGGAGCCAGGGAGGGGCAGGGCAGCGGCTCCGGCGGGCAGAGCACACGCGGAGAGCGCGCACAGCAGCAGCGGCAATACCATCGTCGTCGTCGTTGTCAGCATGGCAGCCATCATCATCCTGTACACAACGGACGACAACGGACGACGACACTCACAAGCTCAGCCTGTGACCACATCGCCCGCAACTTGCCCCCCATCTTGTTAGATCTCGGGGAGGAGAGCCGGGCCCGCGTGTGGATATTATCAGTACGGGTGATCAACACGTACAGGCAAAGGCAATGCTGTAAGGCCACACAGTTGACAACAATATAAAGCGTTGTACTGTATTTATATGCGTCCACATCTATGCTCTCCGCCTTCACCAACCCACACCAACCGGTGTGCGGTATGGTAAAAATATATCCCCGTGGCCTACACAGGCATGGCGATGCCGTCATCCAGCAGTGGATCAGCAAAAGCCCCATCGGTCTACAGCAGTGGTTTTTTTAAACTCATCCTCATGGACCCCTCCTCCCAAGAGTTTGCCTTTTTTCACGACGACCAATCGTTTCACCACAAACGAACCCACTGCACACTGTACGCACCCGATGGTTGTTAATCACGAAGGTTATTTGTGTGGGCAGCTACACAGAATGAAAACGCAACAAACCAACATGCCAAATCACAATTTCAATGTATTTATTTAATAAAGTGCAGCCTCCAATTCTCGTACGCACGTTTTAGGCATTGGTATTTAAGACAGGTGACTTTAGTTCGGGGCCGTCCATAAATGACGTCACGCGATTTTGGACGATTTTTGACCCCCCCCCCTCGTCACACGGCGTCAGAAAAAGTCAGACCCCCCCTCAAATATGACGTCATAAAGCTGTGCCCCCCCCCCCAAAAAAATATAAAACATGCTTCAAATCGCTTTAAACTATTGTCATTGTAGTGCGTATTAATGTGGCGCTGCACTCTGATGTTGTAGGAGAAAACATGTATTTAAAAGTCTATTTAATTACGTATAACGTGTTGTCTATATTTATTTAAAGTTGCGCATTTTGATGTGACGTCACATTTCTCACCTCTCCCCCCCCTCGTCACAAATGTCTGACCCCCCAGGTGCGTGACGTCATTTATGGACGGCCCCTTACTCGTGCCAAAATGTTTTTTCTACCGACTCGTACTGCCTGCTATGTAAACTTGGATCATAAACATGGACACTGACATAGAAAGTGGAACAAGAGCTGAAAATGTGCACAAAGCAGCAGGGAGAGAGGTGCGCGTTTGCAATTTTACATTAGAAGGTCGCACTCATTACACACAAAATGCTATCCACAATAGCCCGCTGATCTCGTCAGGAAGCATAAACTATCATCACGCGAACTGTGGTCATCCTCACTGCAGCAGCGGCTTTTTGGCTAACCATCGACCAAAGGCGGTCTCACCGCATCATCGCGCGCTTCCAGATGCACTTCTACAGCCGTCTGGAACGCTCTTCCTTCCGATATTAGGAAGCCACTGGAGCTGTGCACTTTCAATGGAGATTGAAAACTCATCTCTTGAGAACTGCTTTTTGTGTTTAGTTTACGGTCGTTCCCCCGCACCTCCGCTTAGCACGGTTGGCTACGTACGGTGCGAATGAAGTTCAACTTGCATACGGGACAGAAAGCGGAGCACGTGGATACAGAGAACGCGAGTCAGACATCGTGCGTCGTTCGAAGGACCGATGGAGGGTGACATTATCTCGTGCGCGCGAGCGAGGACGGGTTGTGTGTGGGACCAGGGCAGGGGACGGAAAAGTTCGCCCGGGGGAGGCCTCTATCCAGCAGTGGACAGATCATGGGCCCGACGCTCAAATATGTATGATCGCAATCGCGTATGAAGAGTGATCAATTTATCGATAGCCCACCGAGATCTCGTGACCCTGAGCAGTGCACTGTGAGACGACGGCTCCATGTCTTACAGAGGGGAGAGTCGCAAGATTGGTGACACGTGGAGGGGCTCCGCGTGCCGTGCAGTGCTGCTGCTTCCTCTCTGCAGCGACAGCGCCGAGTTCGGTGGGGTATCTGTAGATGGATCACCACATGAATCACCATCTACAGATGCAGTCCGGCACGCAAAAAATACAAAATATACAGAACACACAGCAAAGATCCCCCGTATAGCCCGAATATACTTTTGGGGCAAGTGCTGTTAGAGAGAAGCAGCCAGTATGAAGGCCGGCACGGCGCACGAGGGGGCGGGTGGATGTCCAGACACCACGCCCGGCCGCCTTTGTCTCCCGAGTGGCGATGTTAAGTACACACCGCACCGAGCTGACATCGTTTGAGGCCCAGAACCGGTTCAGTTAATCGTCACCGGTGTCGGCCGTGAGCGCGAATCGAACTGGGCTCGCCGCTCGGAGCTGAGCGCAGTGCGCTAATCACTGCGCCACCGCTCCTCGCACACGAAACAAAGTCCGGCAACCCCATCCATTCAACCTTTCTGCCACTTGGCACAAGGAGGCAGCAAGGCACGCGGTGCGACCAAGGAGCGCGGAAGTGAACGTGACGATGATGGGGCACGGACACAACACGCGGGGGGTGCTTGCGAATCGTTACTCGAGCCACAGTAAATACGCGAGCCACAGGAATGACCAGCGATCCTGAAGACTTAATCGATACTGGGGACTAGCGATAGTAAAGGCTTAATCGATACTGTGGACTAGCGATGGCGAAGACTTACCGAGAGTACCGCCTTTAGCCCACAGCGACGGCCTCCAAGCGAGACTCTCGCGCTCCTCACGCCGCCCGCTGCTGCTGCTGCTTCCTCCTCGGCCACAGCGATCAGCTGGGAGCCGCCACGTGACCTCTTATACCGGCACCGGGCGCGCGCGTGACCCTTCACGTGACCCTTCACGTGACCAATCACGAGGCACGCGGCGGGGGGGTGACTAGTCACGTGGCACAAGGCGTGGGCGGCTGACCCGTCGCCACGTGACTGTGGCTCGTGCTATCTGGGGGAGCGGTGGTGCAGCGGTTAGCGCGCTGCGCTGCCGAGTTCGATTCCAGCTCACGGCCCCCCCCCCCCGTCGTGTACGGTGGGGGTCCTTCACAGACGCGCTTCTACGTCCGTCTGGAACGTTCTTCTTTCCGATATGAGGAAGCCACTGGAGCTACGCACTTTAAGAATCATCTATATTGACAAACTCATTCCTTGAGAACTGCTTTTTGTGTACTCTTTGGATCTTTCGGTAAAGTCACGTAGGTAGAAAAAGAATAGATCACGACGTTTCGATCGTGATCTATTCGTCATCATCAACCACAGCAAGAAAACCGACAGCTGTTTTTTCTTGCTGTGGTTGTCCCACCTTAAGACGGTCGCTTGTGTCGCGATCGAAACGTCGTGATCTATTAATTTTCTACCTACGTGACTTTACCGAAAGATCCAAAGATAATGGATTCCTGCAGTCACGAAAGCTTCAAATCGAGATTGTTTTTGTGTGTTTAGTTTGTTGTCCATTCCCCCTCCGATCAGCGCGGTTGGCTGCGTACGGTGCGAAAGAAGTTCAACGCACGTTTTGCTCGCTGGACACGGCGTGCGGTAGCGAAGCAGCGAACATCCCTTGGTCGATTGACCGCAGAGAGACGTTTAAGGCGTGACGGTCACAAATATACAATTGCAATCTCCCAACTGAGATAATAGCCACATTGAAAAAGCGAATTCAACATTACGGTTGTATTGGTGACTGAGCTGAGATGACGTACATTAAAATAAAGTCTTTATTTCCATTTTTGTATATATCCATTTATCACCATGCTTCCTTTGGTTTCATTCTTGAGGACCAGTTCCGCCATAAGGGGCCGTCCATAAATGACGTCACGCACCTAGGGGGGGGGGGGGTCAGACATTTGTGACGATGTGTGACGAGGGGGGGGGGGGTGAGAAATGTGACGTCACATCAAAATGCGCAACTTTAAATAAATATAGACAACACGTTCTACTTCATTAATTAGACTTTTTCATAAATGTTCTTTCCTACAACATCAGAGTGCAGCGCCACATTAAATACGCACTTCAATGACAATAGTCTAAAGCGATTTGAAGCATGTTTTATTTTTTTTGGGGGGGGGGGAGGGGGGCAGAGCTTTGTGAAGTCATATTTGAGGGGGGGGTCTGATTTTTGTGACGTCGTGTGACGGGGGGGGGTTAAAAATCGTCCAAAATCGCGTGCCGTCATTTATGGACGCCCCCTAAAGCATTTGTGGGGGGCCGACGCACGCCCCCCCCCCTGCTCCCTGTGAGCGGGCGGCGCCCACCCCCTCCACCTCGTCGGCCGCCTCTCGCTGGGCCACTTGCATTTTGGCGAGCGCTGGGGGAATAAGTAATACATTTAAAATACTTCTTTTAAAAACACGCTTTTATGAAATGTACAAGTAATGGCAGAACTCCACGACTCCAGGACGTGGCCCCGGACCGTGGCCAATTACAGCCAACGTCAGCTGACAATGGACAATTAGACCCAAGCCGAACACATAAAAATTATGTTTAAAAATATAGATGTTTTTTATGATATAATATAGCATTGTCATCAGCATGACATAAGTATACAAAGTTTGCAGTCGATACCACATCGGGAAGTGGGTTAAATTGAGTTAGAAGATTTGAGGATACGACAACAACAACAGAGTGAGTTAAAAGAAAGCGTGTAATAATGAAAATACTTTACCTCTGCCCCAGTATGCCAGTCGCGGCATTTCACCCACGTGGACCTCGGCACCGCAATATGTACCGTGAGCGTGAACCGTGCTATGGTGCATGGGCCCTTCATTGACAACCTGTTGCAGTAAAGTGCCCAGTGGTGGTCGTTGCAGCCACTGACTTGTCCGTGTGGCCTCGACCCAGATCTGTGCTCGCGATGCGCCCGACCCCATCCAGTGTTGCTACCCCCAAGGCCTCTTTAACGACATCGCATCCGTTTTGGTTTCTTGTCTTTTTAACTCACTTTTACATTTCTATTCACAAAATCAATGAGACCAGGATATCTAATTACGCCATATTAAGCAAAAACAAGCTTGAGACGGAAGAGCCGATGGCACCGAGAAAATGAAAACGCGAGGAGCAGAAATGTTTGGTATTAACTAGCAACCGACTGTCACGTCGCAGTCGGCCTCAGTCGGCAGAACCTGCTCCAGACCACGGGGGCTCCGTTCTGTTGTCGTGAACACGGTTAGCTACGTACGGTGTGAAATAAATTTAACATACTGTACGTATCTACACACAGCAGCAGGTCGATATCAGATGAACTTAACATGTTGTAAACGATGCCCTTTTCCAGCGTTGATAGAAATATTTCAAATGCCAGACATTGGCAGATTTTAGTTTCTTGCGTCAAAAGATCCTGGCAGCAGTGGGAAAGGCCAGGTTATCTCTAGCACCGCTGCTAACCTGCCGTGGTGTCCCATGAGGCTCCGTCCCGTTCAGCAAACGGCAAGGGTCAGAACTTTGGTGAGTAGGCCACTGGTGGAAGTTATTCCTTCCATAATGAAACTGGACTCTCCAAATGTGTACTGCATTGTAAAAACAAAACATGTTAATTTACAACTGAATGGATATCGTAACGTGTAAAATATGCACGCTTGGCTTGAATACCGTGACTGGCTAATCGAAACCCACAAGGTCAGGCTCAATGTCAGGACGGGTATAGAGCGTAAAACTCGGGTATGCTCCAACTCCGTTGTTTGGACAAAAGACATGTCACACGGGATGTTGCTTTAATGCAAATTCTTTAAAGGTACAAATGCATACACCGCTTCACATTCAAAAAATTCCAAATTGTACTTTTCATTTTTATTTCAAGAACCGAACGTCCACTGGAAAGCATAGGACCCATTTCAAAGTAAAAAAAATAAACACGTATTATAATATACCAACGAAAAGACAACTCCAAGTTTTCTACACGAAAAAACACATACCCATGCCACCATACATTCTGCCACATGGAGAGGTTCGCCTTTGAATGGCCGCGATTGACCCATGTTGACCCCCCATCCAGGCAATCACAAGGAAATGTCATCGTTGAATTGATAAACGTTGTGTTGTCATGGACCTGCTTGCAACCAACCATATTTCCCTCGGCGAATTCCGCATGTATGATAAACGGCGCAAGGGGAGGCAAAAATAATTTGGTAAAAAATCTGCATTCTCGCATGTCATAATTTAACTCGGTAATTAACCGCTGAAAGCTATAATACACCTTTTACACATATGTATAGATTTCAGAAAATGTATTTACCGCCGTGGCATAAACCGGCGAGTGGTGAAAATGTCCGCGGTCTTTAGACCTGGCTAGTAAAATGGTTGAGGACTGTTTGGATTCCTGCGTCTGAAGGGCATTTGCTCGTGCCTTATCGGAGGCCGGTAACGCGGTGCGTTCACATTCGGAGGCCTCGCGTGGAAGTTACCCATTTCTCTCGATTCAAAGTATGGGTTGTAATTGCCCGGATGCCCAAAGCTGGCGGAGTCTCCTTGCCAATACGGCGGCTGAGGAGGGAAGCCAGGGTGCATATACGGTGGTGGCGGCGGTGGTGCTGCTGGAGGAGGAAATCCTCGCCCGCCCCCGTGGCTTGGCCCTCGGAAACGATTGTGGAACATCGGAGGCCGGGGTCCCCAGGGTTGTCCAAAAGCATTGCCGTCATGAAAGGGCCCACGTGGCTGCATGTGGCTGAACTCAAAGTTGGGCCTTCCCCTGCCTCTGGCCCTGCCTCTGCCCCGGGGGTTGTGCTGCTGTTCCTCTGCTCGAGGAAGATGAGCTCCGGCCATTTCTGAAGAAATAAAAAAGACAACAAATATTTCACACGCGTTCATGCCTCGTAGTGTGACTAGCATTAGAATTTGCTGCCAGCCAGACTACAGTGGCTATGCGCGCCGGTTAATCTAAACTAAATTTAAAAATATATTATTTAGCCAGGTAAGGCCCACTGAGCTATATAGCACTTTTCAGAAGTGACCTGGCCACAAATGATGGCTCAACGAAGGGGCTTTTCTTCTGGAAATGTAGAGTAGCCAAATACTCTAAACACGGTAAAAACCGTGGGGAACCCAAAGTAAAAATCCACGTGACCACGGGGAAAACACGCTAACTCCAAATATACAGTGGGCATCAGGGTCGGGATTGAACCCTACGACCTCCTGTATACCAAAATGTTATTTATATTGCTGCCGAGAGGCTTTGTGTAATTATCGAGACTCACAAGATTCACGTTAGTGCACTGAAGAGTCATCACCACCCACCTGGTCGAGTGTTGGCTCTTTGTGAGTTTTTTCCTTTGGCGGCTTTCTCTTGTTCATCGTCGCTGTAGTCGACAGCCTGCAATACATTGGACGTGTTGTATGCACCAGAGCAGGACACACCCAACAACCCATTTAAATGGACATCGCACAGATGATGGCTGCTGCCTTTGGATGGGTGGAGCTCAACCGTCAAAATCAGCTTCCACATTTCAAATTGATTTGGTTGAACCAACTAAATTATAAACTAAACTATTTTCTGAGAATAGGTTTTTCCCCTTCTTTCTGGCAACAAAACAGGTGTTAAGATGTTAAAACACCAAACTGAAACCTTTTACAAGGAATCATGTCTACATTAACCACAATACTTGTGGTCAGAATGCAAACAAAAACACACTGATAATATCTGCATTGTCTTTGAAACTGTTCGGTCCACACTAGAGACGGCTTTCTTTCGAGCCTGGTTTCAAACGGTGTTAGACCAGAGGACAGTAGCCAAAAAAAGGTTGAGTTATCGATGATCGTATTATCATGCCTATTCAGTCCATAATGAACATCATTAATTATAAATCTATGTTATTTTCATGGCGACACAACGTTACTCATGAACGTTGAGTTTTTGTTGTTGTTTGTACTTGTGCACTGTTGCCAACACAGCAGCACCAGCAGCAGCACCAGCAGCATTACAAAACTGTTTCAAGAGCCAGAACCTTTAATCAGGAACTTGTGGACAGAAAAGAAACAAACATACCTCGGGAGGCGGCTCGATGTCATCCTTCCAAGAAGCATCTGAACCTTTGAGTCTGATGGAAAAAACACATTGCAAGAGAAATTCTTGACTTTTAAAATGTCATTGTTTTTTTTCTCTCAATATAGAGCAAATGATTTGTGTGCGGCATTTGCATAAAAAAAAAATTGTATTTATGAAATAATTCCTTACCGTTTCAGTTTTTCCGTAAAGATATACTGAGTGTAGTCCGTCATTTCCGGGGTACAGTAGAGAGTGGTGCCAGTCGCGATGCCCTTTTGGGTGACGTCGTCTGCCGAATTGAAGCGCAGGGAGTAGAACGGGTGGGTGACGGGCCCAAAGGTCTCAAACACCTGCGGCACACGAGAGACGCACGCTTGCACATGAGAGACTCACACTCACACCAGAGACTCACACACCAGAGACTCACACACGGAGACTCACTCACACACCAGAGACTCACACACGGAGACTCACTCACACATCAGAGACTCACACTCAGAGACTCACTCACACACCAGAGACTCACACTCAGAGACTCACTCACACACCAGAGACTCACACTCACACACGGAGACTCACACTCACACACCAGAGACTCACACACGGAGACTCACTCACACACCAGAGACTCACACTCACACACGAGAGACGCACGCTTGCACACGAGAGACTCACACTCACACACGAGAGACTCACACTCACACCAGAGACTCACACTCACACACCAGAGACTCACACACGGAGACTCACTCACACACCAGAGACTCACACTCACACACCAGAGACTCACACTCACACACCAGAGACGCATGCTTGCACACGAGAGACTCACACTCACACACGGAGACTCACACTCACACACCAGAGACTCACACACGGAGACTCACTCACACACCAGAGACTCACACTCACACACCAGAGACTCACACTCACACACCAGAGACGCACACTTGCACACGAGAGACGCGCGCTTGCACATGGACGAGCGGTTTGCAAAAACAAAAACCCACGGTCGTACGTCATCACCGGTGGGGGGGAAGAGTGTTCTCTGATGTAAAGGCGCTCTCTCGCTCTCTCGCTCTCTTACACCCACAGCGAAGCGCATCGCGCGATTTTGGTTACAAGGAGGCGCACGGCGGAATATCCGAATGCACACAGGCAGTGGCCTACATGCAAACAGGTGGGCCTCATCAGGCACACGCACCGCGGCCGCGCTGCGCCAAAGGAGTCTGCGGCTCAACTTGGAAAACCAATTTTTGCCCGCGGATAAATTATTCCGTAATTATTGTTATTGCGCCCGTTTTTTTTCACCCCCCAGAAAAGTCAACAACCCTAATGATGAAAATTTACCTGGAAATCACTTCACTGCGATTTACATGGCAGCAACATCATGCCCTGGTACAGGAAACTTACTAAAAACTATCATTTTTTTTTATTTTACCAGGCAAGGCCCACTGAGCTATTTCGCTCTTTTTCAGAAGCAACCTACCCACAAACGATAGCTCAACAAAGTGCCTTATCACGTGGATATGTATAGCTGCCAAATACAGTAGAACCTCAGAGATCGAACGCACCAGAACTCGAACAAATCGGTGTTCCGAACGATATTTCCGAACATTTTTTGCCCCAGAAACCGAACGAAATTCAGAGGTCGAACGGGCAATCGCTACTTGAAAGAACCTGTACGGCTGAGACGCGTATGGCCAGCATGCATGACGCTTGCCCAGACAAAGGTTTTACCGTATGAGAGGCAGAAACAAACCTCTTTAGGTAAGTTTTTAGTTAGAAAGAGCTCAAGTGACTCACAGTTAGTGGCAGAAAAGAGGCACAAAAGAGAAAGAACCCCAGAAGGGAAGTTACCCATTGTTATTATGGAAGGAGCTCCCCTTCCAAACAATAACACCACCTCCTCCTCCTCACCACCTTCCACTCAAGCCATCAACTCTCGTTACTACAGGTAAAGTGAAGTTCAATGTTCATTTACTTCATTTATTCCATATATTTATTCCATTTATTTATTGTGTTTCTTGTTGTTTTGTATGATTTTATGCATGTAATTACTGTAAACTTCGTGTAAAAATGCTTTATAATGAGAGAGTTCTTGTGTCTGGAACCCATTAATGTAATTTACATTAATTCTTATGGGGAAAATGAATTCGGTGTTCGAACAAATCGGTGTTCGAAAGGCTTTCTGTAACGAATTAAGTTCAATCTCCGGGGTACCACTGTACTCTAAACGCATGATTCTAAATGTGGAGGTGAAAAACCGGAGAACCCGGAGAAAATTCCACGTGACCACGGGGAGAAAACTCCAAATATACAGGCATCAAGGGTTGGGATCGAAAACGACCACCTGCATAATAGGCGAGGGAGTTAATATCTCACCAGGATCCTCCGGATAAAAAGAGTCGTTGAGACTCAGTCAGGCTTTCCTAGGTAACCAAGCGGATTGATAATAATAATAATAGAGTGCTGTATGCCTTTGCATGGCGGTATGGCCAGCGTTGTTTGCAGGTTGGCATTAGAAGTAAAATCAAATAAATGTTACTACAGCGGTGGTCGTGAAGGCAGAGTCGCTCGGCGTACATCCCAGCCGCACAGTAGGCAGGTCTGTTATCGACTTCGCACGGCTCGCGGCAATGATGAACACACGATCGCGGACCTCAGTCCAGTTGCGACGCGCGATGAAGACGGGAACGGCGTGCCTACCTTCCCAACGGACTTTCTGTCCGACGAGAAGAGCAACGTGTCTTCGTTGAGTGGAGACTTGTCTTTTAAGGACTCCACGACCACTGAAATGTGCATGGGAGAGGCGGGGGTGGGGGGTCAGAGGGGGTTCAGGTGGATCAATCGGGTTTCGTGGAGTGAAGAGGGTGGATTTTTTGGAAAACGAAGAGCAAATATTTCACAAAACGCAATGGATTCATGGAGGTGAAAGAACATGCCAAAAATAAAAGGCTTTTTTAGTTTATTCCCCCAGTTCTATCCTGATTGTGATATCGGTGTCACATCATCAAGCTATAAACTCAACTATAAACTACTGATATTTTACCAGGTACGGCCTACTTGACCTATGTAGCTCTTTTTCAGACGTGACCTGGCTATCACAAACGACAGCGCAACGAAGTGGATTATCGTGTGGAAATTTACAGCAGCCAAATACCCTAAAGGCATGTTGATTATAAATGTGGAGACAAAAATGCACGCGACCACGGGCAGAACATGCAAACTCCAAATATACAGGCATCGTCAGAGCCGGGATCGGACCGATGACCTGTATAACAGGCAAAATAGTTAACATCTCGCCACCGTGGCGCCCAACGACATCTTCAAACATTCAAGTCCATTCTCTCATCGAGCAGTGCAACCCTTCTTCGTGTTAGGTTATGGCCCACGGAAGCCGATGTCAGAGCTACCTCCGAGATCCCCTTAAAGCCACCTCCGTTCCACGCAGAAAAGGGGCAGCACTCTACGCACTCCGCCAGCCACGATGCGTTTTATTTGCGCGCGATTGTTGGTGACCGAGCTGAGACCATTAACTCGCTGCACTTGACGCACCTGGATTAATCACGGGCGTCTGCCCGGACTGAAACCTAGGTTGCGGGCTCAGCACTCCGACCTCTGAGCCCACCCGGTGGCCTCTCCTAAGAAACGAGGTCTTCAGAGGCTCTGCGAGGTTGGTGCCCCTCATGACATCCCATGTTCTAGCGGCCGCGACGAGAACCGAGAGCGCGCTGTGCCGACAAGAGTTCCATTCCGAGGCACGACGCCCCCCCCCCACACCGTGACACAACACGCAAGAAGCGACACGGCCCCCTTGTCAAATCCTACTGCCGGACGAGGGCCTCCGTTACTCGCAGAGGTCACTCGTCCATACGTCACTAACGGCCGGCCAGTGCGGGTCGGTAACATTTATGGAGCGTGCGACGGTGGCGTTCGCTGCGCTGTCCTCTGCCGAGCACGCAGCGCTGTGACGAGTCAACTCCACAAACCTCGACACACGTGTGTGGGCGCACCGCCTATACCAAGAAACTAGTACAGGCAGTCCTCAACTTGTGAACAGCCGGACTTACGACCGGTTCGCATTAAGAATGGGATCTTGGGAACAAATTAAGTTCGTAAGTCGATGAGTGTCCGCATCTCGTTCCCACTGTGCAACCGAGCCAGGCCGGTGCAACCATGGAGACACCAAGGTGACACCAAGTCATCTTTTTCCACTGCACAACCAGAGCCGTGCCACTGACATGACACGCAACAAACACATTACGATGCCAGCATCCCACGTTTAAGCGTACCGACTGATGCAACAAATACGACTCAAATAGCGCAACGTGCGGCGGTAACGATGAACCGCTTCGCCTCCCTGCACTGACCAGCGTGGTGAAGTATGGTCAAACGACTACGACAACCGACAAGGTGCTGGGATGCCTTCATCCAATAGCGGGTTGATGACAAAGTGTTTTGATAATTAAAATCGTTCCAAACTCCTCTAGAGCACAGCAAAGAACAAATGCACTGAATAAGGGAAAACATTGCCAATGCAATCAGCAATGTTCCGGTGGCCTGTAGGATTTCATCAGTTCTGCTTAACGCTTTGAATATAAAAAAATGAGCTCGGGTGTTTTGTTGAACGGTGATATATCAGTAATGTAATTAGCAAAAGCGTATATGTAATTGACAGGGAACTCACCTAGTTGGCCCAGGAGGCTGGTGACCACCCCAATTGGCTCCATTTTGACATCTTCGGGAATCTCGATGGTGACCTCGGGCACAGGCGGCAGGTCCTGAGGACAGCGAGCGCACACAGCGGACGGGCGGTCACCACTCACGTCGCGTCTCTCTCGCTCGCGCGCAGACGCAGTCATCCACACCAACACATCCGGGAATTACTCGCGTGAACACGCACAAAGGAAACGCACTCGGTTACCCTCAAGGCAGTTGTCATTATCACCATCATCGGGACATCACCAAACACCTCGAGACCCAAACACCCACACCCCGAGGAGTCATCTCTCAGTCCTACAATGAAACAATCCACCTCGAGCCTGCATGCTGATTCCATTGCTCCATCCCCATGGTGCATGTTCCCCTGGACGCGTTACCTTCACTCACAGCCATGCGTGAATTACATTACAGCTTAGACGTCGAATGATACTAAACGAAAAACAATCCTTCACTTTACCAGGTCAGGCTCACCAAGCTATATAGTTATTCTTCAGAAGCGAACTGGCCATAAATGCTCGCTCAATGAAGTGGCTCATCATGTGGACATTTATAGCAGGCAAATATTCGAAACGTGTGATGTCGATTCTAAATGTGGTAGGAAAAATGAGAGAAAAATCCACACAGCCACGGGGAGAACACCCACACTCCAAATATACAGCAGGCATCACGGTCGGGATCGAACCCACGACCTCCTGCATAACAGGTGAGGTAGTCAACATCTCGCTACTGCACGATCCTTACCACTTAAATTCATGTAAACACAGTAATCCTATCTCCCAGTATAATCCCAAGCATGCATCTCTCCACGCTTCTCTGCACACCCTGAATCTTTTGCTTCCCATCTTTGTGTCAGTGTCCATGCGCGTCTGGCCCACCGCAGGTAACAAAGCACCAATTAAGTTCCCTCTCCAGACACATCGGCACGTCGCTTTGCATGAACGAGGACAACCCGCTCCCCGTTGTTTTAATCATGATGATGTTGTGACTGTGACCCACGGCTGGCCTGCAGTAGCTGCCCCAGGCTCAACACACCGGAGATTTTTTTTCTTCTTCCACTTGTCCTTCTGACAAGACCGTCCCCAGTTTCTGAGCAAAGTTATCGTTGTTTCGCCGACAATTTGATCTTGGATCCAACGTTGGGTGCCGAATTCGTGACCGCTTTTTTTCTCCTTCTGACAATTTCCTGAAGTTCATTGCCAATTGGCGTCGCTTCAAGGACCACGTCGTCAACACACATCAGGGGCGGTTCAAGTTTTTCTCCATCGATTTCTCCAATCAAATATTGGGGGGAAAAAAACCCATTTCCACCCTCACGGTGACCAACTGTCAAACTCAACACATTCACCAATAAGTGACCTTAAAATTAAATAAAAACACAATAGTTATGTCTGTATTTATAAATTCTTCCACACTGTACGTAGCCAACCGTGCTTATCGTAAGTGCGGGGGCAATGGCCGCTCTTCATAGGACATTCAAAAATGTGCTATGAAGAAGGATAAGAGGAAGGGTCATATTATATACTTTTCCTTTTAAGGCCACAGTGTTATGGATAAACGTGTTGAGTTTTGTTTGTTGTGCTTTGTGCACCCCTGTCAAAGCAGCAGCATCACCAGATGACTTTGTGACTGTGAGGAAGTTAAAGCCGTTGTAGTTGCGTCAGTAATTTTGTGAGGAATGGCATGACCGCGCGGGGTGATATGAATAAATGAATGGGTAGAATTTTCCAGAGGATCGACATCAATGAGATAGCGTCCCTAGACGCACCGACATCCAATGGTGTGTGAGCTCAAGCCATATTGTCGAATAAATAATTAAACACTGAGGAAGCAATTATCTCACGCTAATTACTGAATAATTAACAGTGCATTTATAATAAATGTCTACAACCCATTCGCTCGCACGTCACGGCCAACACTGTGCCTTCATTTTCACGTTGTTTTATTTACCAATTAAAAAAATATATATCTTGCCGAAAATGTTTTAGTATATTAAACTTTTTGAGACATGAACGACTTGACACTGAATTTAATAATAATAAGTAGCAATTGTCAACTCACTTCCCTCGGGCCCGCCAGCAGAAGAATAACCATCAGCGGAGTAAAAAAATAATCAAGAAACACCCTGGGTGGTGGTGGTGGTGGCACCGACTATGCTGCACGTGGCCTGTGACCCGGCATCGCTGTGGAGCCAGCAGCGAGCGTTGGCGGACCATTGCACAAACAAAGTGCCTGCCACAAATGATCCACAATACCTTGCTGATCTCGTCAAGGAGCATAAATCATCACGCGAACTCCGGTCATCCCCCAAGCAGCAGCAGCGTGTGGCTCACCATCGAACAAAGACTGCATCGCTCGCTTTCATATGCGCTTCTGCGGCTGTCTGGAACGTTCTTTCTTCCGATATTAGGAAGCCACGGGAGGTATGCACTAATAAATCATTCATATTGAAAACTTATATCTTTAGAATTGCTCTTTGTGTATCGTTTGTTGTCCTTACACCAAACCTCCAACAACGGCTGGCTACGTACATACAAACGTTGCAAAACTCCCTTCTCGTTGGGTATCAAGCTGCCGTACCCTGGCTCACCAGAAGAAGGCGATAACAGCCAAGTGCGGACTTATCTCCATTTGTCCTATCTGTACAGGATAGAAAGCTGCCCCGTCACATGCGTGGGTTTTCTCCGGGTGCTCCGGTTTCCTTCCGCATGCATAAACTCATCAATTGGTTGGAAGCATCTTAACCCTTTCCCGTTACGATCACGTACGTGTACGTGTAGGTCATCGTACGTGTACGTCACATACGATGACGTACACGGAACTGGACATGCGGGAGGGCATGTGGCACAGTTTGCCACCAGCTATCGTGGAGTGCGGCCGTGTCGCTACAATTCTCTGCAGCGAGTAAAATGTCTTTAAAAACAGCGGCGCTATGCCTCTAAATGAAATAACGCCGAGCCACTCGCACGTTCCGAAATTCAACACTCACCAAACCCTGCAACTTGCAGACATCTCGGAATGGGAAAGTGTTACCGTAAAAAACAAATAGCAGCAAGGCTTTCCTGAAAAAACGAGTCCTTGGACTTCAACGTGGCTTCCTGGGTAAATAAATAACAATTATGACTTTGTGAAATATTTAATTTGCAGTAGAAAGCCAATGTTGGAATTCTCTCATTTGCAATTCAGAGTGCGTGAGCCAAGCAGGTCGTTCTTTGCTTGAGTGCTTTATCGCAGAGGCTGGCAATTCCCCTGCTCTGGTTTAATGCTTTGGCTCTTCACACTGAAATCTGACCATTTCGTTTTTTTATAATTCTTCTGATGAGAAGACGCTGTTGATAAAGAGGTCGCGAGAAGAACGGGCCCTCTTCACGAGTTCCCTCGTGAAGAGGGCCCGACGTTCACCATCCTAAATACCGCTGAACAGTGCCGTTAATGGCAAGCACCAATTATAATTATTTTCATGAGACTGCAAAATTTACAGACCAAACATCACTGTGCAATATTCTCAACTGATTCAGTATACCACCATAGCGCTATACTGGACACAACATTCAATCAATTGTACACACACGTATACAGTTAAGCTACATTTTTAAAGGCTATATAGACCGAACGCTGAACTCGATCAAGTACAGCGGTGAATGGGTTGATAAATATCAAAAACACATGACGCGGGTCTCCGCGCGCGATTTGCAGGCGGCTCACAAGTGGGAGCTGCTTGCGAACAAGCAGCACGGCACGACACGGCACGGCACGTTCGGGATGCAGCGGAGCATAAAAACAAACACTGAAACCGTCCCCCACCTCCAGGTCCAGCTCGCCCTTCACTTTCACTTTCGGCACCGACTTGGAGGAAAAATAATCGTCTCCAAACTCGAAATCGTCGGCGACCGGTGTTGGCGATGCTGAGGACAGGGACGAGGTTGACTCGTCAGACGAATCGCTGCCAAAGGACGCAAACAGGAGGCAGATTAGACGCCACAGCTCAAACTCCCGCCCAGCGCAGCGCTGTGAATAAAGCGAACATGTACGGTGCACTCTTCCCTGTGAGCTACGCTCAACGTCAGGTAGTCTGCATGTATGTACATATGTTGAACTTCCTTCGCGCCGGACGTAGCCAACCGTGCTAATCGGAGGTGTCTGCAGACAGGCGCCTAAAATCATGGGTGTAGCAACGCAGGCAGAGGTGCATACATTATCATCAATTCTGAAGCTCGCAGCCACGTGCACTGAACCACGTGTGTAAGCGGCAACGTTCGTTTCAATTGCACGAAGCTCTGTACCCGTGGCACACCACGGGAAGGGAAGTAGAGCCAATGCATCAGAAGAGAAAAAATGAGCGGGATGGAAGGCCGGGACAGAAGTCCCCAAGACGAACAAAGAGGAGGGCACGGCTCGAGATGAGCAGCAGGGAGGCCGAGGAGGAGAGCTGGGCAGCAGGAGAGGGAATGACTGGGCCAAGGTGTCAGGGATGAGAGGGTGATGATGAGAGGGAAGGGAAGAGAAGGAGAGAACGAGCGAGCAGGAATAAGTTGCATGGAGCGGCGTCTGTTTTCACTGGGGGCGCGGAGAGGAGAGGGATAAGCAAAACAAATGAAAAGACAAAAACACAGAAAATATAAGTCATTAACGCTGTTGTGGAACATATAAAGAAACTAGATAAGGAGACAAGTCAATTCCACAAATCAGTCTCTCCACTTAGAACATAAGTATACCGTTTACACAATCCATCGGCCCCACGACCTTCTGGGAATGCATCGTTTCAGCAGCATTGATCCGGCACAAGAAACAATGGACCGATCTTGACATGCAGTGGGCTCACCAGCAGTGGCAAGCTCGCTTGAACCACTGGTGCACTGCCAGATGCCACAGGCGAGGACACTCCCCTTCAGTCATGGGTCCTCCCAGAAGGCCATGGGGCCCGATGGGTTGTGTAAGGAATCCTTTTACATTTGACATGAACAGAGTCTCACCTGTCTTCAGCTGCACGGTCTGGGATTAATTTTACATCCATCTCTTCCGAGTCGGTGGCCACCACTTCTTTCTGAAACGGTAACTCCCCTTGTCCACACAAGGGCCCCTTGGGAAGTTCACTTCCCGACATATCGACCGATTCTTGAGGAGAAACGTCTGCTTCTGACGTTACAACGATCGCACTGCTGGATTCGCCCGTGTCTCTTAATTCACCCTGTACGCCCATTTGCGGTGTGTCGAATTGTGGCACTGCTAAATCAGAACTCATAAGCTCTTGTGGTTGTATAAGCAGAGTCCCAGATGTGTTATTTTCATCTAAACTTTCCTCATATTTCTTTTGGCCTTCTGAACAGACCTCTGAAATTGAATCTTCACAATCCATCTTGGTTTGTTCTGTAATAATAAAAACAAGAAGTTTTTTAAAACATGCGAAAACATAGAAACCGATGAACTGAATAAAAAAATACATACAAGATCTGTTCCAACTTTTATCCCCAAAGGCAGAGAAAGCTCGTCAAGTTTATAACATCGGAGATCACAGGAGATTGATTGGCAAGTCTGAGTAATTAATGGAATGTTTTATCATGTTTTGCTTTATGTAATCGTTGACGCAAATTGCATCTCAAAATTGCTGAGGATGCACAGACGAGCTGGAAGGCAGCCAAGCCAGGAGTCGGAGCAACCAACAATTGCCCTCTGGGGTTCTCTACGTGGACGTATTGGCGGTACACCAGTGCAGCATAACAACGCACCGGTGCTCATAAAACAGTGTGACGATGTCGCTGTTGCCCTCCTTGAGTGAGCTGCAGGACTCTCCATCAGAAGTTGCACTTAGATTCAGCAGCTGCTTTGCAATTCGAACGTGTGGCGACACCACGAGTCGTAATCTGTTGATGCCACCGTCCGCCAAGAAACGATTCCGGAAATGAATCGAGGAATCGTCCGACCAATTCTAGGGCAGGAGGAGTCATTCTCGCTGCCTTCGGAACACGGAGCAACCAATCGTCATCAGGCTGGGTGCTGCTATACGGCAACAGACTGTGACGCTTCTTGGTGTTCAGCTGCTCGTAAACATTCGTCTTCCGACTGCTCCGACATGAAGAGAACCGATTTTTACGCTCCCCAGAAGATTTTCTGACCGGGTTTGCGAATTGCGGGAAAATTAATGACTGAAAAATTTATATATTGAGACATTTTCAGCCAATTCATGAGTACTTACACGTGGGAGGAAACTGGAGATGGAACAGATGCACATTTAGAAACATGCGTTTAAATTATTTTGGCTGCTATAAATTTCCACATGATGAGCCACTACGATGAGCTATCATTTGTGGCCAGGTCACCTCTGAAAAAGAAGGAAATAGCTCAGCAGGCTTCACCTGGTAAAATAAAAAGTTTAGTTGACATTTTTTGTGATTTTCTTACCTTTCCTATACTTTGCACTGTGATCGTGTTTTTGTATGGTTCGTTGTGACTTTCTAACCTGCCCCGACTGGACATCTGTAAAAAGAGCTTTTTCAATCTTGACTAAAAGCTTTAGTGACTGCAGAAATTCATATAATTTGGGTCTTTCGGTAAAGGCACGCAGATACGTGACTTTACCGAAAGACCCAAAGAATAAGAGGGCTTCATAGCTCCACCAAATCTCACCTCCGCAGTGCTGGCTTACAGGCCCGCGCAGCCACCAACCATCCAGGACACAGGGTCCCAGGCATTACAAAACAAAACCAATGTACAAGAGAGCCCCCCCTACATCTTCCTCCCGAGACATTCCCAGGTAAGTGACAAACTTCCCCACGTCCCTGTGAGAGTGCAGACAAGCGGGGAGGGGGTGGCATGGTGGGGATGTGGAGTCTCTACCTCCAGTGTCACTCATGGCCGCTCTCAAAGCGTTCCTCTCTGTGTGGGTGACGCGGGATCGCGGCGATGCCACGTGTCTGTCGCCTTGGGGACACCTTGGCAGACACGAGGTGTGGGACATGGACATTCAGTGACAGGTTATCAAACAACCGATGAGCATTTCGATATCTGGATCGAAAAGCGTAGCACTTTTAAAATAATAAAAATAGGGAGATTGATCCATCTGAGGCAGATACAGATTTTACCCGATACACCGGATCTGATGACACACGCAGCTCAATAGGATAAAATGAAGGGTGCAGCATGTTGACAGTCCGACAAGCTCCCCCCTGTTTAACCTTAACAGACTGTTGGGCAAGTGCTGTTAGCGAGCACCTATTAAGGCCGGCACGGCACACGAGGGGGTGGGGTGGCCAGCACCATGCCTGGCTGCCTTTGTCTCCCCAGTGACGATGTTTACACACCGCACCAGGTACTCATTTGAGTCTACTTTGGGGAGGTCCAGGAACGGTTCAGATAAAGTCATCGGTGTTGGCCGTGAGCGGGAATCGATCTCGAGTCGCCAGGTTCGTATCGCAGCGTGTTCACCGCTACTCCACCGCTCCCCCCTAAACACATCCACAGTGGTACCGTATGAGGGCATATGAACATACTACACACGTGAATTCATGTACACAATAACTAAAGTAGCGAATGCACGTATAATAAATACATAATAAACAAAGGTGGTCCGTTGTACGAAACGCAAAGTGGAATTCGAGCGGAGTGAGAGTCTTGAGTGAGACATTCTGCAGCCAGACAGTCTCGGGTGAGGTGGATTAGTGAGGCGATCTCGAGCAAGGCAGTAGAGATCGAGTCAGATTGGAGAGGCAGTCTGGAGCGAGGCGGTGTGTGGTATGTGTGGAGCGAGGCGGTGGTGTGTGTATAGTGAGGTGGTGTGTGTATAGTGAGGTGGTGTGTGTGGCGAGGTGGTGTGTGTGGAGCGAGGCAGTCTGGAGCAATGCGGTGTGTGGAGCGAGGCGGTCTGGAGGCAGTCTGGAGCGAGGCGGTGGTGGTGTGTGTGGTGAGGCGGTGTGTGGAGCGAGGTGGCGGTGTGTGTAGTGAGACGATGGTGGTGTGTGTAGTGAGACGATGGTGGTGTGTGTAGTGAGACGATGGCGGTGTGTGTAGTGAGACGATGGTGGTGTGTGTAGTGAGGCGGTGTGCGGTGTGTATAGCGAGGCAGTATAGCGAGGCGGTGTGTATAATGAGGCAGTATAGTGAGGTGGTGTGTGGAGCGAGGCGGTGTGTGGAGCGAGGCGGTGTGTATAATGAGGCAGTATAGTGAGGTGGTGTGTGGAGCGAGGCGGTGTGTGGAGCGAGGCGGTGTGTATAGCGAGGCGGTGTGTATAGCGAGGCGGTGTGTATAGCGAGGCGGTGTGTATAGCGAGGCGGTGTGTATAGCGAGGCGGTGTGTATAGCGAGGCGGTGTGTATAGCGAGGCGGTGTGTATAGCGAGGCGGTGTGTATAGCGAGGCGGTGTGTATAGCGAGGCAGTATAGCGAGGTGGCGTGTGGAGCGAGGCGGTGTGTGGAGTCACTCACGCTGCTCCACCTCCACGTGCGTAGTGCGACGCGGCAAGGCCCAAGAGTCCGCGGTGATTTGATGAGTCTTTATTCCCGGTCCAACAATTGCATTTTCAACTAAGGGTCCGTGGTGATTTGCATCAAGGCCGTAGCCATGGAGTTAACATTGGGGGGACCAAATTTGAAAAATAATTTCCTGCCAAAATATTAAAAAATTCACTAACACATGGGATGGACTTCTTTTTATTTACAATAATGTCTAATAGTGTAATGTATTACATTGCTCTGTTTTTACTTTTCTACCATTTATTGTTTCATTGTATGTAATGGCAGAGTTTAGGGATTAATAAAGTACAACCATAACCACAATCATATAAACAGAAATCTATGCATTGATTTATATGAAGACAAGTCCAGATATTGTTGCCAAGGTTTAGCAAATTTTGTTTTTATTTACATAGCATAGCAATTGTTTTTTTTATACCAAAATATTGGGGGGACATTTTGAGCATATTTGAATATTGGGGAGGATGTGTGTCCCCGCCCCCCCCCCCCCACCAATATATATATATGACTAGCTGTACTACCCGGCTTCGCCCGAGACTTGGATTCACCACGCCCGACCGCCTTTGTCTCCCCAGTGGCGATGTTCACACACCACACCACTTACTCGTTTGAGGCTGAGTCGACCTAGGGGAGGCCCAGGACCGGTTAAAATAATCGTCACCGGTGGTGGCCCCGTGACCTCCTGCCAGCGGGCGTTCGACACTTCACGTGGCCTCAAGGTGCACATAGCCTGGCACAAGCGTCGTGGTGACGTTACCGCCACTTAGTGGCGAATGGTGGTTGTTGTTGTGTGTAGGGTTGTGTGTGTAGGGTTGTGTGTGTAGGTGTGTGTGTGTGCAGTAGGGGGCACAGGTGGTGCATTGGGCCAGTCATCTCAATCAGTCGACCCATGGCACCTGGGTCTGCCCCGTGTCGTTAAACCCGCCACCACCCGACACAGCCAATGAACAAGGGTCGTCACGTGAACAGACCACGCCGCGTGGTGGCGTTGCGCCTGTCGAGTGGGCTACTCGGGATGCGCCTGCTGCTGTGAGCTACAGCGGCCACTGGGGGCCGCTCTTGCCACGCGCCAGCAGCGCACGACGCGGTGGAGCAACTTGAGGTGATGGCACCGACACGCACGTAACGACTCTGACGACGATGTAGTCAGAGACGCTTTCTATTTAGACACAGCCACAATAAAGGGCCCGAGGCTTCGTGGTTGTCTCCACTCCGTGTGCTCTCCCCGTTTTATATATTCCTCGGGCAACCTTTCTGGAACCTTCTTGTACTTGTTTTTCACTTAGCCAATCCCTGTCCTTCCCCTCTCACGGATACTCTCTGTTTTCCCATCGATCTCGTTCAAACCTTATTCCTCCAATCCCTTTAAAAGTCTGCCTTCCGACCAATCACCGTGGAGGCCTCTTTCTACCAATCGGAGACCTTTGTTTATTTTCAAACAGCCGTGAGGCTGCACATCGGCTTGGCGTTGCGGTCTGAATCGAGGGTTCCAGTGGGGAGAGCGACTTGCTGGGATCTGGGAGGAGTGGGACCCCGGTGGTGACTTGAGGCGTTGCTGCTCTGGAAAAAAACTGAGAAATCGTTGATCGATCCATTATAAACGGGTTGGATCACGTAAATATCAATGTGTCGTTGAACCCGCCACCACCCGACACAGCCAATTAGTGAGGGTTGTCACGTTAACTTCAGCACGCCTGTGTGTTGGAGAGTCAACCAACATAATTTGCAATTTACTCTCCAACACCCCAGTGACAAACTTATGAATTGGCTGTGCTGGGTGGTGGTGGGTTCAACGACACATTTATATTTACGCGATCTTACCGACTTTCTTTAATGGATAATATTGGTAGAGATAGCGTAAGTGTTAATCTCGTTGATCAATGTTCGGTTGCCGGGTTGATGGCGGCATTCGTGTTATCATTTGTCACTTTAAAATGTTTTTTTCATCTTACCAGGTAAGGCCCACTGAGCTGTGTAGCTCTTTGTCAGAAGCGACCTGGGAACAAATGATAGCTCAACGAAGCGTCGTATCACGTGGACATTTCTAGCAGATAAATGCTCTAAGCGCATGTTGATTCTAAATGTGGAGTGAAAAACCGGAGGACTCGGAGAAAAATCCAAGTGACCACGGGGAGAACACGCAAACTCCAATTATACAGGCGTCGGGATCGAACCCACGACCTCCTGTATGCTATGCGAGGTAGTTGACATCTCGCCGCGTGAAGCCTGCCATATCTAACAGAGAACAGGGTCCTTTCTGAAAAACATCTTGCAGTTCACAGGCATTGGTTCTGCTGATGAGACACTGACTGTCAACACCGGTCCAGGGTGTTTTTTTCTTGTATTGGTTCAACTGATGCTGCTGAAATGATGCACTCCCAGAAGGAAGGACGTGTGGCTGATGGGATGTGCTTAACATTTGTTTTTGTTTATCTGGAGACATGTATTTGAAGGAGGCATTGTTCATGTATTGTATTGCCAATGTGTAATGAATTGGGTTTGAAGGTGTAGAGTTGTCGGTTCAAAATGTAATAATTGAGGCCGCTATTTCTTAACAGAGTACAGGATTGTGCGTGTTGACTTCACCTGGTCTGGCTACACCTGATCTAGGTACTGAATAAACCATGGCCCAGACGTCACCGACTTCCCAAACATGATTCCATCATCGCCAAAGCAATTACCGTGCCGCGCTAATTCACGCGCGTAACACGACACGTGCACAGACGCCAGTTAATGTGCCAGGTCACCCGCAGGTCACCAGGTCATCACCAGGTCACCCCCAGGTCACCCCCAGGTCACCAGGTCACCCCCTGGTCACCACCAGGTCGCCCCCAGGTCACCATCAGGTCACCAGGTCACCAGGTCGCCCAGTTCCCCGTGCCGCACGCTGCACGGCGCCTCGATTGACTTGGTAATCGCCTTGATATTTATTTACAGAATGCAGTCACGGCCAACGTTAACCAAGGACATCCGTGCTGTTCGTTTTGTTCGGAACTGAATAAAGGAATACATCGCATGTAAGGGGAACAGCAATCATCATTCAACATATATCGAACGGGATAGCTGCCAATCCCTGCTTGTAATGGTCAGCCGACTGGACTTAGAACTCAAAGGTTGCCGGTTCGATCTCCCGGTGCGGCAGTCGGAACAATGGGAAAGCTCCTCGAATCGCTCCCCTGCCGCCTCTGCACACCCAGCGGCGTCGTCAATGGCGACAACAGTGAGATGAGTACGAGTGTGGGAATACTGCAACCCTCTTTCCAGCCGCCTGGTCAACGTGGAAGAGGAGGCCAAATCCGGATCAGAATCTTTATTTCGACTGCAGGAGGAATCCGATGAGCTATTAAGCTCTTTGTTACAGATGTCCAGCAAGTTACAACAACAAACAGTATACTGTACAAAACGAAATGACGTCAAAATAGAGTTAAAGGTAAGCGAGTGACTATTGTATTTATATATATAAAGTTATATTTACCAAGCTTCTGCAAGGCAGAAAAAACGACAACAAAACAGTCACCATTTTATTGAGCAGTCCCTCCATACAATGGTACATTAACGTTGACATATCGATACACAGGCAAGGATCAAAGTTACAAATCACGTTTGCAAATGCGGTCGCTGTACCCAGCGCCAATCTTCCACAGAGCTCCCGCGGGTGGAGTCCGTTCCGTGTCAGGGGGCGGCGCGAGCGAGTCCCGGGTGGGAAGAGCGCAGCGCCACGAGCAGGCGCTGCTCGTGAGAGATGCCTGGAGCAAGATCGCGTGTTCCTTACGTGCACGGGTGGCCAATCTGTAACAGACCAAGAGCCAAAACAAGTTCCCGTGAGCCACGTGTAGTGACATAGAATCGGTATGAGCGGTTATATATTGACAGTTTTCGGCACAGCACGGGAAACATTCACTATTCCATGCTGTTGTGATAGCACGTGCTACGCTGTGCTCCGTCGATGTAGTCTCGTGTGGTTGATTAAAGAGTCGCATGCAGCTCTCGGGCCATGGGAGCTGCGGGCCCATGCGCCACTCGGCACACTTGAATGTCCGATTGGCACGGTTGGCTACGTACGGTGCGAGAGAATTTCAACATGCACACAATGTGTGGTTGTAAAATCAGAGAAGTGCGATTTGTGTCCATCACGCAGGGTGGACATTCCGGAGCACCTGTAATTGCCCGCAGGAAGACCCCAGCCTGCAATTACGGTACTCTCAAAGCGACGTTCAAAACGGTACAATTTGTCCAGTAGATTCTACTCGACTGGGAAAGGTAAGATGAATGAGTGAAGCGTTTGCTTGTTTACGTTTGCCAAACCAATTACAACTCGCCCACAGCGCATTGTCGTCGTTGCATGGGTTCGCAGAATGGGCATGAGCAGGGACATTATGTACCGGGACAGATCCCGCCCTCGTCACCACGACCCTACCTAGGGCAGTTAAAGCACACGTCACCTGTGACCAAGCACCCTTCCGAAAACCTGTCTTGTTCCGGTCATCCTCACAGCAGCAGCGGCTTTTAGCTCACCATCGCGCGCTTTCATATGCGCTTCCGCGGCCGTCTGGAACGCTCTTCCGGCATTATGAAGCCACTCGAGCTAAATAATCGAAGTTGAAAACGCATTTCGTTATAACTGCTTTTTGTGTTTAGTTTGTGGGTTCCTTCCCCCGCATCTCTGATTAGGACGGCCGGCTACGTGCTGTGCGAAAGAAGTTCAACATACAGTAAGAACATACAGAGAAGCAGCAAGTGAAGATATGTTACAACAATAATACTCATAATAATTCACAATAAACTACTGCCATGTGTCGCGGAAAGCCTCTACGACACGGGCTTAGACTGACAACCTTCCCGCTATGAGCTGCTCCAGGATCGCCAGACAGACAGCACGTAGTACGTATGTAGAACTTCTTTTGCACCGTACCTAGCTACCCGTGCCAATCGGAGGTGCGGGGGAAGGAGAAGAACCCCGTTGCAGTGAAGCGATTTGTTTATCATCTTCGCACCACGCCTACAGTCTGTTTCCGCACCACACTTTTCAAATCGTGTGCCCGTCCATCACGTGGTATAACGAAGCATGGGGAGATGCGCGTTTCTAATGCCACTGGGGAACAGAGAAGCACACGAATCAGCGAGCAGGGTCTTAACGAAGTAGTCGATCTACAATGGCTGCTGATGATTATGGTACGTTGCTTGGTTTCTTGTTATATGTCTTCATTATACATTTATCTCTGCCACCCATAGCTGCATTTGCTTTTTTGTTTAAAATAACCAAATAGGGTGCATGTAGACCCACATGCGTGTGTGCAGTGCCCTTTATCGATGTACGATGCCAACCGGGAACCTCGCAGTATTGTATAATTAACAAGAATACGGAACCTGGACGATCGGTGGTGCGGATGTCAGGACAAATACGACTGGCAACGCAGCACGTGCCAGCGGACGGATTTGGTGTTGTCACTGATTGAACGGCGACAACAAATTAACTGATGAATGCTCGACTCGTCAACCCCTTGTGCACACCCCAATGTGATCGGTGTAATGCGATATCGATCCCCGCAGTGAAATCCCATTTGACTTCAAATGCGGCGACCGCGTTTCGTTGGTCGTAGTGGGCTGTTTACAGAACGAGCATGTGGGACCTGGTCACTGTAGCGCGTTCCAAAAAAAACATATGCCAAGCCATCTCATGGTTCGGTTAGTGTGCGTTTACACTCAAAGCAATGACTCTGCACACAAGGTCAAGAGGGCATCATGGCCAATGCCTCGCCCTGGCTCGTGCCAGATATGACAGCTGTTGCACGGTCTACACCCGGACTCTGTGTCGTAGTGGCGCTTTCCTCCCGTCTCCCCCCTGGGCGTCACTGCAATGTCTCGGTATGCTGACCTCCTCCATCCTGCACGCGACTCCCACTCATCACAAGAATCGCTTCCTCGTTGCATCTACCATGGGGTTGTGGTCTTTTACTGTCTTAATCTAACTTGTATCCGATACAGCAGCGGGGTTTTCTTCACCTGGGGTGCACGTTCCTCCGCTGGGGGTGCGAGATGCCCTCTCTGGGGGTGCGAGACGTGGCCAGATTTTTTTAGAAGGTAAATCATCGAAACACAAATTAAGCACGAACACGTAAATCATAACTAATTTGGTTCATCAAACCTTTGTATTTATTAACATCGCACATTTTGTAACGATTCAGAACCAAAGGGGGTAAAGGTTAAGAACCACTGCTTTTATATTATCCTGCCATACAATGTCCAGATTCCTCTGCAGAAGCAGTATCGCAGTCATCATCATCATCATCACGATCTGTGTGGCGCTAAGCGCACGAGCCATGCCCGCGTTGGGCGTCAGGGATCAGCACCCGGCGGACGCCGTCTTGTCCGCGGAGAATGTGAGATTCTCAGTTCAGCTCCTCAAGAAGCTCCCAACATGTGGAGAGAAACGTCGGACAGCGTCTCAAGCAAAACGCGGAACAAACCGCCACCAGTTCGCAGAGCCGTTTGGCGCTGGGAAGATGGAGGGCCGTTGCCAGAAACGTCACCGACCATGTTTTACATTGAATGGCGCGCTGTTATTTGGCGGATGTGTTGAGTCTGAGATCTGTAGTCGGTGCCTTGAGCTTGGTGGGAGACGCGTGGAACGGACACGTTTGTTCCTCATACCTGCCAACCCCTACTCACTGCCGTACCTTATTTCAGACCAATTCACACCGTATTGGTCACCCCGTGCCCTTATAAATCTCAACGTTCATCCTACGAAGTCCCATCACAAGCGAGAAACACAAAAATTGGACCCTGAAAGCTCAATTTCCCTGCACACGAAGAATCCGGGGTGAACCGTCTGGGTTGACCGCTGTAGTTCCTCCTCGACGATTCCCCCGACCTGGTGGGGGTGGGGGGGGGCGTCCAGACCCGGGCCCCCCACCCCACGGCACGGGGCGCGGTGTCCCGAGAGGGGCCTGCAGGGGGCGCAACGCCACGCGGCACTCCTCGCGGAGCGGGCTGGGAGCTGGGGGGCGCAGGGCGCAGCGGCCCCCCCCCTTCCACCATATAGAGACGCACCACCACCCACCCCCACCACCACACCCCACCCAACCCCACCACACCCCACCCACCCCCCGTAAGAAGGCGGGTCCCCTGCATGGAGGCGGGGCGCTTATAAAGGGCCGGGCGCGCCTGCGTGGCCGCGCTCCGGCACAGCGCTCGAGTCGGCGGCGGCGTTGTTGGGGAGCGCTCTGCGCTCTGCGCGCCTCGGTGCCTTCCCCCGCCGCTATCGCCCCGGTAACCCGCGCGCTCCCATCGCCATCCGATTAGCCCCGACAGCCGCGATCAAAGTGCCGCGACAGCCCGACAGGGAGAGAGAGGAGAGAGAGGGCGCCGCCTCGCACTCGTGCGCAGCGGCCCGCGGTGGCGAACCGAGCAGCGGCGGCGGCTGTGGCGGTGGTGGCGGTGATGTAGGAGCCGCGCAGAGAGCACGAGCGGTGGTGGTGGTGGCGTGCGGCTCACGGAGCGCGACTCGCGTGCGGCAGCGGGAGCCGCCGCGGGCGAGGAGGAGGAGGAGGAGGCGAGGGGAGGGAGCCCCGCAGCGATCTCCGCCGGAATAAAAGGCCACGGTCTCGTGTTTCCTTATCAATCGGGTAAGTTAAGATGCGCCACTCCAGCCGGCTCTGGCGGACCTCCAGCTCGGTTTCCAATGAGCTCAGCTTTTAGACGTTAATGGAAAGGAGCTTTGTAAGGGGGGGGACGCGGGGAGAGGGAGCGGGCGGGGCGATGCGCACTAATGGTAATGGAAAGTGCCTTCTCGGTCGAGGCGGCTCTGCGATAAGACTCCGCAGCAATCCCATTTAATTTCTCGCCGGGGTAATGTAATAGGAGGATCAGTAAATACATTTCCCCGTGTCCCGAAGCCGCTCTCTTCCCCCGGGGGCTCTTTTCCATTTCAGCATTTTTAATCCGAGCATCTGCAACACAATCCAGGCAATTACGCGGCGCGGCGCGCTCCGACCTGAAACTTGATGAGTTACTCTCGGCTCGCCCACCCCAGGGGACGAGGGCGAGGGAGGGGAGAGCGAGGCAGGGGGGAGCCTTACCCAGGCAGCCGCGTTCCCTTGATTCTTTATTAACTTAACAAGCCGGACAAGTGCTCGCCTTTTCAGGACCCCCCCCCGACCATGTCGTTATCTGCAGGCTCCGCTAATGGGGGGGGGGGGGGGGGGGAGGACGCCTCTAATGGCACTTTTCAAAGCGCGCTCAGCCTCAGCTGTCGTCTGGCCCCGCTGGCTTTGGCGTTGCGCCCGGGTAATTGGGAGCTCGAGAAGGAGGCTTTGCATCCCCTCCCCTCCCTCCACCCCTCCATCTCCCCTCCCCTCCCACCCCCCTTTCCCCCGTGCCTGCACGCAAATTGTCCGGAGCGGTTTAATGGGAGCGCGGGTCACAAATTGAGCGCTTTTGCTGTTTTGCTATTCCTGGCGGTGCGACGCGCGGATAAACGCGGATTACGGGAAGCCGGTGAGCGACTGCGCTTTCGACCTGGCCGTCCCAGTTGGGATTCCAGGCCTCGCCTGACGTTCGTCGGCCAGTGAAACCTGAACCCAGTCCCTGGGCTACGCGGCCCCTTCAGTTCACCACGTCGCTCTGCCCGGCGCGGTGAAGTATGGTCAAACCGCTCGCGCGACGCGACGTTGTTTTGGAGAGGCCTTCGTCCAGCAGTGGATTGGCGGAGGGCGGCAGCACGGTGCCTGGCGATGTTCGTGGCCGATTTGGAAGGGACGATCGCTCCATACCAGCCAGTCGGGCAGACTCTCGCGTTCCGTCTCCCAGAAGGAGTCGTGACGTTAGCTGACGGGACTCGCGTTGACTCGCTCCGTAGATCCCAGTGGACATGGGACGGACGTTGGATCAACGTTGGTTCAACGTTGGTCCAACTGTTCCAAGCACATGCCAGCGTTGGCACGTTTACCCTGCCCCCCCCCCCCGCACAAAGCGCAGCCCCCCAATGAGACCCCGGGCGTCACCTACGGCTTGCGAGCTGCTGTCTGTAAGAGGGTGCGGGCTCTGCGGCAGGAGATATGAACTCCCTCGCCTGGTATACAGGAGGCCGTGGGTTTGATCCCCAACCCTGATGCCCGCTATATATTTGGAGTTTGCATGGTCTTTCTCTCCCTGTGGTCGCGTGGGTGTTTTTATGGGTTCTCCGTTGTTTCCCCCTCCACATTTAGACTCGACATCACGCGTTTAGAGTATTTTGCTGCTATACATTTGCGCACGACGATAAGCCACTTCGTTGAGCGATCATTTGTGGCCAGGTCGCTGCTGAAAAAGAGCTACCTGGCTCAGTGGGGCCTTCTTACCTGGTAAAAAAAAAAAGTTTCGTATTTTATAGCTGCTGCTGCACTCAGGCGGCACGTGAGGGGGCCTCCCCCAACCTAACTCCCCGCAGCGCCGTGGGCAGTCCACTTGCCTTGCGTGAAGCCCTGGACCATGCTTCACCACGCTGGTCGGTGAGGGTCGGTGAAGGAGGGTCTGCGGCAAAGGGTTCAGTTCCGACGTCGCTTGCCACTGGCGGTAGCCGTGGCTGGGAATGGAACCGTGGGGTCACCGGGTTCGTCACGCAGCATTCTGACGGGTTCCACGCACGTCGCGTGCGCGGCGTGTATCTGTGACCGTATCAAATCGTAACCGGAAGAGGAAAATTTTTACGCAAAACCATCGCGCGTGTATCGGTGATGTGTGCGGACGCGGGCCGTGAATGGAAGGACGGAATGTGAGTTCGCCCAGGTGGAGGCAAGAGCGGCCGTCCCTTCGTAATTGGAGACAAACATCCAAAAATGCGGTCTGGTGAATGAAGGACACGGACCCAGGGCCTGGGTTCAGGCTTCACTCGCCAACGAACATCAGCCGTGGCCCGGAATCCAACTCGGATCGCCAGCTCCATAGCGCCGTGCGCTTCACCACACTCGCATACTGCACCGCTCGCTGCTCTCACCGCTCGCGAGATCCAGTTGCTGGAAGTGAAAGAGCTCCGCGTGTGAGACAGCCGGCACGGCATCGCCGGCACGGGTCGCACGCGTGTCCCAGGAGGGTAGTAGGATTCTCAGCTGAGTTCATTAACGGAGTATATGTTAACAGGATCTCAATGGGGTGTATGTATATATGAGTTCATCAATGGAGTATATGTGTGTTTAGTTTGTTCCCCTTCCCCCACACTATTTAGCACGGTTGGCTATGTACGGCGTGAAAGAAGTTCTACATACATCTGAGTATATATGAGTTCATAAATATGTTAAGAGGATCTCAATAGAGTGTATAGGATTTCTTCAATGGAGTATGTTAACAGGACTGGCGAGTGTGTTGGGTGCGGTGTTGGCCCTATTTTCGAATGTCGAACGTGGCGATACTGTGCCACGTCTCATCTGTGACTCGTCTCTCTCGAGCTGCCGCACGCGGCCCCGGCTTTTTGGGGGGGAGGGGGGGGGGATCCACGCGGTTTGTAAGCGCGCCATGGCCAGGTGCTCGTTAGGTGGAGCGAGACCGCTCGCGCTCAGCTCGCGCTCAGCTCGCTCGTGTGCGTGGAAGCAGATGCCCTGGGCAACCCCTTGCGATGAGGATGCTCCGTTCTCACGGGATGGATTTTCCAGGGCGAAATGTTTTAATGATTTTAAAATATATACAAATACAGAGATGCCCATGCCGGTTTTTATTTATTGTCCGCTGCGGACTGTGCCCCGTGAAATTGGCAGGGCAGAGTGCAGCTGTTGCAAAGTTGAACACATTTCTTGGGTGATGATGATGCTGCTGCTGCGTTGGCCATGGTGCAAAAGCACAGACAACAGTAAGATAAATCGACACGCTCCATATCAATAACACCGTTGTCTTGAAATGAACAACCTCATGGGCGACGTTTCGGGCAATGAGCATTATTCTCAGCGCATGACAGAGGGGCCAGAGGGACGGTGTGAGATAACAATGGTTGGAGTGCATCTTACACCATAGGGCCTGATAAGAAGTAAAAAAAATTGGACCCCGATTTGGAATATCGGTTACCAAATAGTAGCCACTGAGTAACAGACAAACCTGTCGGTAAACCTTATCACAGCAAAAGAAACGAATTTGTGCGCAAGTTCCAATCGTGACTTGTTGCTGGCACGTTTGTGTTGTGGGTGTGTGTTTGACCCGCGCAACGCAGGCGGCCGCTGGTGGCCGCAGCTCCGCGGAGGGCGGCATGGTGAACCCGGCCCGCGGCAAGGAGAGTGGGGGGCCTTGCGCCGCCGGCGGGGGAGCGGCTGGCGCGGGGGGAGGAGCTGGGGGGGGCGCTGGAGGAGGAGGAGGGGCGGGAGGGGGGGCCCTGCCCGCGGGGGGCGGCACTGCGCCGGGCGGCAAGACGTGCGCGGGCTGCGGGGCGCGCATCGCGGACCGCTTCCTGCTCTACTCGATGGAGCGCTACTGGCACACGCGCTGCCTGCGCTGCTCCTGCTGCCAGGCGCAGCTGGGCGACATCGGCTCCTCGTGCTACACGCGCCAGGGCATGATCCTGTGCCGGAACGACTACATCAGGTGAGGGGGCGCGCACGCACGATCTCGGTCTCTCGCGCGTGTTCGCGTGCCATGCGCAGACCACTGGGCGCTCCGTGGTGGCGGACGCGGCTTCTGTGGCAGCAGAGGGGGGGGGGCAGGGGGGGGGGGTGCAGGATGCGCGGTGTCCTCGCTCGGAGCGCGAAGCAGCGCTTCACTTGGGCACGCCGGGGGAGCGCTGCGTGACGAGTTGGGTCTGAGCACAGCTGGGAATGACCGACCTGACCTCTGGAATTGAGCTTGCATCACGCCAGCTCGGGTTTATCGGCCTCACAGGATTCTCAGTTGTGTACATGCGCCGTATTTCCGGAGCCTTCTCTCAGCCAGATATTGTTTATACATTTGTTGCAAATCTGCGTTGTCGCTTAAAAAATAATATAGATATATTTTATTTATAAGGCTGAGGGGGTCATATTATTTTCCGTGACCCCTACTCAGTGTAGAATGTTGGAGCTCGGTGACCCCATGTGCCTGGGCCAGGCTTGTGAATGTCACGCGATAGATCTGCCTATGATGCGCGTGCACTGCAGAGCAGCAGTCAACGTGCACCTCCCGCCTCTCTCAAGTCTCCCCGCATCTCCCCATGCGTTTGTGCCGCCCGGTCGCCTTCCAACCAGGCGATGCCCACCTGTTCTCGAGCCTATGCCCGCACTTTGCCTCCACGCAAGGCATTGGTGCGGCTTCCCACTGCCGACATTGCGCCTCTTATTCATTGGTCAATCTCCCGAGTGCTCCCCGTGTCTCCACCGGTTTGTAAAACCCGTGTAAGCCGACCGGCACGGAGGCCGCAGGCGCACGAGCCGCGTCTTGCCGACGTGCGAATATTCCGCGAACGCCGTCCCCCAAATGCCGTCAGGAATACCACTCCGCGTTTGCGCGCGCTCGTCGTTCATGCCGGTGGGCGGCCTTGCAGGTGGCAGCAACCTTTGCAATAATATTTAACTCCGGGGTTCGCGGTATGGGCCAGGAATTTTTATTTTAATTCCCCCGTGCGAGCGGCGTTGGCGCCAGCCCCTATGTCACGTTGACATCCGTGTGGCCATGGTGGCGGCGTTGCTTAATGGACCGGCCTCTGTGCGGCGTTACGCAGATATTGTTGGCAGCCTCTCTCGCGCTCCGCGGACCATTAGCGTCAGGTTATGGACGCGCCTCGCCCCGGCCGCTCAGCCGGTCGTTGGGGCCCCGCGTATCAATTCTCACTCCCGTGGAGCTGCACGCAAAACAGAACCGCGTCCTCCCGACTTTAATCCTGCAGTCGGTGGGTGGCGGCGGCGGTGGCAGCCGCGGCGGCGGTCGGTTTGCCCCCATGCCGGCGCGTCGTTCGTCAGCGGCACACTGCCGCCTTGCGCGCGCGGCAGCTTTGCGAGACGAGCACTGGCCGCCGTCGCTGCTGCTGCTGCTGCTGTGCCGACGGCTGCCTCACCCTCCCCCGTGGTGTTTGCCTTGAGTGCAGAGCCCCAAAGGGCCACTTCCCACCCAACTTGGCCCGAACCCCACGCGTGTTGGGCGCGCACTATTGCTAAGATTTAAACATTTTATTTTAGTTTACCAAGGTGAAAGCCTACTGAGCTAAATAACTGTTTTTAAAAACGAACCTGGTGATCACAAATGATAGCTCAACGAAGCAGTTTATCTCATGGAAATTTATAGTGTCCAATAATACTCTAAATGCGAGACGTTGATTCTAAGTGTGGAGGGGAAAAACGTGAAGACCCCGGAGAAAAATCCACGCAGTGACCACGGTGAGAGCGACACCGCAAACTCCATATATAAAGCCATAGTCAGGGTCAGGATGGAACCTACGACCTCCTGAATACCCGGCGAGGTAGTCAACATCTCGCCACCATGGCAGGTCGGGTCCGAGTCGTGGGACCGCAACGGCCGTGCGACGGAATGCTTTGCATCTGCGCGGTTTCATCCAGCAATGCAAAGCGGCTGTCATGCTGTGACACATCCTTGCCCCGAGGCGTGTTGGGTGTCCGATGGAGGTTGTTCCCGTACGGTCCTCTTCTGTTATGATGATGGGGTGTCTAATGTACTGAAGAGGTTTAGAGTTCAGCTGCATCTTGAGTTTGACATAGTTGCTAGAATATAAGAAAAGTCACGCGAGATCTGGCGTTGAACGTTATCATTTTTACTTTTTTAATTACAACGATGGGGGGTGGGCGACGATTGCTACGCATCTCCCAATTAAGTAATTTGTGAGCCTCCTCTCAAAGTTTGACGAGTTGCAGAAATAATTTGACTTCTGACTGTAGGGTTGGTTAGGACTCGGTAGGGTTGGTTAGGACTCGGTAGGGTTGGGTAGGACTCGGTAGGGTTGGTTAGGACTCGGTAGGGTTGGTTAGGACTCGGTAGGGTTGGGTAGGACTCGGTAGGGTTGGTTAGGACTCGGTAGGGTTGGGGATAGAGGGGTCAGGTCACAGCCACAGGTCGTGATGCGTCCGACTTTGAAGGGACGTTGTTGCGTTTGAGTCGCGCCGATCGCTTTGTCTTGCGCTGCCAAATGGGAGGACGGTGGTCATGCGGCATTCACCAAATTGTCAGGATTCCCCGTGATCACCGAACCTATGATTTGTCAAGACTGCCACCATGGTGGTAACTTGAAGGGGTGGAATAATTCACCTTCCCAACCCCGACACTGACTGGGCGAGTCTTTGTGCCAATTCTACGATGGAATTCAATTCCGGTGACTGGGCTGCCATAATTAAATCTAGTGGATGGGCCACCGTTCGCTGCGGCGTGGTGAATGGTGACAGCCCCCTCGAGTGGCCATAGGGCAGATGCCGCGCAGCGTGGCTGCGTTGTCGTCCACCCCTCGCACCGTCCCTTGCCCTGCGGACGTAGCGATGCGTCGTGTGCGAAGAAACGCCTGCGGCTTCCGTAGCAACCAGCGCCGACCATTTGCCTGCCCCCCGCCCATCCTTTGCGCGCGTAAGCGAGGCTCGACGCCCGTCGAGATCGCCGGCCCGCGCCGCGACCGCCGTGCTCAGAGCGGCGGCTCGCACTCAACTTTCAGGACACAGACAGCCAGAGTTGTGCGCAAGCGCTCCGGTTCGCAGATGCGACTGGCTCGACGGATGTAGCCAGTGGCGAGGTGTAGCCTATTTAACCAGCGGTGGAACTGGTCACACGTACGTCACCCAGTTTGCGTGCCTCGACGATGCTACGGGCAGTAATCAAATGTGGAGCGGATTTTAAAAAAATCTTTCTTCTTCCTCTTTCCCCCAGCGGGAAGTAGTGAGTGTTGGCAAGCTGATCTTTGATTCGCAGATCAAGCGACGGCTCCTGGCGTGGTCCCGGCAACCGCACCAACTCTCCTGGCCAGCCCGAGCGTTGCTACTCCTCCGTTGCAAAAGCGGCGCTACGTCCCCCGTGCTCGGCGCCCGTGTGCGAGAATGAATGCGCCCGGCACCAGCCTCGTGCGCTACGCGTGGCTGCCGCGCGCCATTCCGTCTTTTTTTGGGGGCACGGCGACAGCGGCGCGTGCAGACGAAAGCAAACCTGCATGCCAATAGCAAGGCGGAGCCCCATTGGAGATTTTGGAAGGTAAATAATTAAACGCAGCGTAACCAAAGGAGGGGGGGGGGGGGCGAGAGCAAGCCTCGTGGAAACGGATGCCATCTCAGGGTGGCTATGCGGGAGCCTGGGACTCGTGCCCAACCAGCCAGCAGCAGCCCCCGGATTGCAGGGGTCCTGCAAGGAGGGGCCTTCCTTGAGGAGGGGCCTTCCTTGAGGAGGGGCCTTCCTTGAGGAGGGGCCTTCCTTGAGGAGGGGCCTTCCTTGAGGAGGGGCCTTCCTTGAGGAGGGGCCTTCCTTGAGGAGAGGTCTTCCTTGAGGAGAGGAGGGGCCTTCCTTGAGGAGGAGCCTTCCTTGAGGAGGAGCCTTCCTTGAGGAGGAGCCTTCCTTGAGGAGGGGCCTTCCTTGAGGAGAGGAGGGGCCTTCCTTGAGGAGAGGAGGGGCCTTCCTTGAGGAGGGGCCTTCCTTGAGGAGGGGCCTTCCTTGAGGAGAGGCCTTCCTTGAGGAGGGGCCTTCCTTGAGGAGAGGAGAGGCCTTCCTTGAGGAGGGGCCTTCCTTGAGGAGAGGAGAGGCCTTCCTTGAGGAGAGGAGAGGCCTTCCTTGAGGAGAGGAGAGGCCTTCCTTGGGGAGAGGAGAGGCCTTCCTTGAGGAGAGGAGAGGCCTTCCTTGAGGAGAGGAGGGGCCTTCCTTGAGGAGAGGAGGGGCCTTCCTTGAGGAGAGGAGGGGCCTTCCTTGAGGAGAGGAGGGGCCTTCCTTGAGGAGAGGAGGGGCCTTCCTTGAGGAGAGGAGGGGCCTTCCTTGAGGAGAGGAGGGGCCGTCCTTGAGGAGAGGAGGGGCCTTCCTTGAGGAGAGGAGGGGCCTTCCTTGAGGAGAGGAGGGGCCTTCCTTGAGGAGAGGAGGGGCCTTCCTTGAGGAGAGGAGGGGCCTTCCTTGAGGAGAGGAGGGGCCTTCCTTGAGGAGAGGAGGGGCCTTCCTTGAGGAGAGGAGGGGCCTTCCTTGAGGAGAGGAGGGGCCTTCCTTGAGGAGAGGAGGGGCCTTCCTTGAGGAGAGGAGGGGCCTTCCTTGAGGAGAGGAGGGGCCTTCCTTGAGGAGAGGAGGGGCCTTCCTTGAGGAGAGGAGGGGCCTTCCTTGAGGAGAGGAGGGGCCTTCCTTGAGGAGAGGAGGGGCCTTCCTTGAGGAGAGGAGGGGCCTTCCTTGAGGAGAGGAGGGGCCTTCCTTGAGGAGAGGAGGGGCCTTCCTTGAGGAGAGGAGGGGCCTGCGTCAGAATATGTGGCCTGCGACGACGTCGACAGGTTGGTGGGAAGCGTGCGTGTGCACGCTTGCGTGCGTACCCGAGAATGTGGGGATGGCACAGGAAGGTGCATTGAGACGGATCGGGAGTGCGACTTGCCGTACCGTCTCCTGGCTTCTACCAGCCCAGTGGATTTGGGGGTCTTGCAGCACCGACCCCACCTGTAATGTGC